CCGCCTCTGTCTCTGTCTCGTCTCTGTCTCTGCCTCTGTATCTGTTTGGTCTCCGATTCGTCGCCGTCTGCCGTCCCCGTTCCCGCGCTCCGCTCCGCTCTCTTTGTCTCCGTCTCCGTCCCCGCTCCTGCTGGCCGCTACATCTCCGTCTCCGTCTTCGTCTCCGTCCTGTCCCCGTGCCCTTCCCCGTCCCCACTAAACATAATCGATAATCTTGTCAGTATTTGTGGAATTCTGTAACCAACCTATCCCAAATCTGGGTACCTCCCCCCCCCGCCCGCCACTCAGGATCGGTAATGAAGTTATTCGTAGCGGCCGAGTGCTGCAACTAAGCTGTAAGTGCATTTTAAAAACATCTTTCGGCTCCATCCTCTGTACTTGTTCTCTCACCGACTCAATCATTGCTCACTTACCCTTCCTTCCCTCCCTCCATCATTTCTTCATCATCCATCCACCATTTACCTATCCCCCCTTCCCATGTCTGTATCATGCCGCATTCCCGCTGTCCGGCAACGGCCGCTCTGACGGCACCGCAGTAACCGCACCAACCCCTCCGCCCGCTCACCCCACACTGCGCCGCCGCCGGCCCGTGGCTGCGGCCGGTCGGTCACGTGGGGACCGCAGCGACCTCTACGGGGTCGCGACCCTAGCGGCCGGGTACTGCAACTAAAGACGTGCATTTTAAAAACGCGCCAGGCTGGAATCGAACCAGCAACCCATGCCATATGAGTTTACCACTCTACCAACTGAGCTACCAAGAACGCACTGATAAGCGCTTTGAATAAGCCATGGTAGTCTGCACATCTTGATGACATGGTCTGGTGCGTATTGCGGCGTTTTACGGCGAAGTGGTTGGGAGCAAATTTGGTTTTAAATGAAGGTTATACGCCATGTTTCTTGATCAAATTTTCAGAACAAGAGGGCAAAAGCAAGACAGTACGCTGGAATTGGTTCTCCAGCGGCGACATGCATGTTTTATGATTGGCGATCGCCGGTCGTGTGAGCTGACGTCACGCAGACAGTCAGCGCCATCTCTGGAGCGTCGGGCGACATAGTCGAGGGGCCGAGTTTGGCTATTTGGGGGGTGCAAATGCGATTAAAAATGTGCCGCGCACATAGCCACGATCGAGAGCTGTCGATTGGTGTTTGAATCGTGTCTGTAGGTGGTGTGGTTTGGGCGGTTATCCCAAAAAACTGAAACGCTTCACGTATTATTTATTGTCGATGATTTTGGTTACAGCCAGCAATACCACAACTTACTTTATATTTACAAAATCTAGCTAAGTGACCCTTTCGTAGGCACGAAAAGCAGCGTCTATTGCCGAAAACAAACTTATTTCTTGCTACCGCATCCATCTGTTTAAAGGCAAAACATTCATTCAACTGATGCATACCATTGCCACAACATGAACAGACCTTTGACGTGGACTCGAACGCTTCGGTCGTCAGTGTGCTCCTCAAATTTTTATATTCCTGCTGTGACTCACTGATGACTGTTGGCCGCTTACTACTTGAGGCTGTCACGGTGGCATAATTTAGGGCAATGCGAACCTGCTTTTGCAACCATGCATCAAAATGTATTAGATTTGGCCTCTGGATGTCAATAATGTATTCACCCCAGTCACGTTTTAATTGTGACGGAAGTTTTTGAACAGCACGGCGCAAATTTTCCGTCGAGTGCAGATCTCCATCGTATCCCATATTTCGCAGTACCGTCACAGCACAATGAACAGACCCGTGAAACTTCTCCATGCTTGCCGGGTCCAGGTACACCGGAGGTGGGGCAGAGAACACTCGAGATAAGTTGGCATAGACAATGTCCTCATCCCGACCAAAGCGATCCCTTAATGCGGCAATTGCGTCCAGATACAAGTTTCCGTCGAATAACATGCCTCCAATGGTGTGACGCGCCAGTCCTGTCACTGCATTCTGTAGGTGGGCCATTTTTTCGTCATTCGACAATGGTTGATCGTCAACTACAGTGTCCTGATTTTCGTGAATTTGGGTGGAAACCCACACCTTAACAGATTCTCTTTGTGACGTCCCGGAAAGCCAAACGACGTCCCTGACATTTTTTTACGGATCGGGATAAAAGTCGGCAGGTATATCGAACACCAAAAGCAAACTAACAAAAAGAAATATCACCTCTGTAGCCTAAAAACACGGCTATGCAAAATGACAACAAATATATCCTAAGTCCTCACAAACCCACTTACACTCAACTCCCCTTGCCTACACCGCTGGCCAACTGCCGCAACAGTAAACAACGCGGTTTTATGTTCGTTTTCTGTGCGTCAGATATGGATAGGTTTTCTTTTACCATATGAAGGTAATAGCTGCCATATGAAGGAGAAAAGATGTCGGAATAGAGGGATCTGAGGACATCGTTTTCCACTTTTCAGTTTTAGTAACTGTGGAGTGTATAGATAAAAATTTATCATGCGAATATATTACTTCGACATTTATCTATAAGCACGCAACATACCTTTTGTATCAAACTACTGTAACATATTTAATTATTTTTTCCCCTCAGAAGGTCACAGTAACGGGGTAGCGCTGCCCCTGGAACATGTCCTTCAAAAGTAGTTAATTTTGCATATGTTGATAGTGGTTGGGGAAAAAGTTTAGTGTTTATTTGTTTGAATTAAAATAAAGTTACCGAATTTCAACAGTATTAATTCAAGTATGTCGTCCTTGGCTTAAAAAATACACGCAATGTTGGGGACGTCGATTGACCTTGTCATTCCCATTTAATCGACGTCGGTACAAAACTGAAAAGTGCATAATGATTTCACATTTTTTTCCAGCCAAGAAAAATTCAGCGTCCAACTTGGAGTTTTCTTAATTGAATTTCATAACAGGAAGCTATGGAAATTAATTTTCCGAACTGTTTTCCACCTCTTTGTTTGGACGTCTGTTTTTTACGTCAGTCCTCTTGCTCGATATAATGTCCCTCTTATGACGTCAATATTTAGTGATAGCCGCTGGCTCTTGGGTTGATTTTTGTTGAAGCATATTTGTTGTTGACTGTTGTGTACGATCATGGACAAGAACTAGACATCTTCAAAGTGTTGTTTTGGTGTTTGTGGTGAATGATTTAATTTTGTATTGTACTAGGGGTAAACTGGCATTACTTTGTGTCTACATATATATGATCATTTGAGATGCCTTGAGGTGCTATTAGTCAACATTGCCAGTGAAAATCGCTAATTTTAAGAGATTTAGGTAAGGGATTTTCAGTGGCTTAGGCTCCGCACCGATATCGACGTCCTTTTGAAATAGTGACGTCCTTGCGGCTTCAATCACACTCTCCGAAAAATCAATTTCAGGACACTGGTCAACTAAGGATTTAAATAGCGAATACCACCTCGGCCAATCCGAAATTTCGCCGTTAAATGTTTCCAGCTGCAAATGAGGCAAACTGCTTCGAAAGAGAGATGCCCGTGGGACATGATCTACCTTCGTCCATTCGTTCGAAGCTTCGTTTACATGTGGTAGCTTGAGCTTCATATCGTATCTGTCGTCTGTCGTTTGTTCGGTGCGGAATCATTCGCTCGCTTTGTTCGTCGTCTGTACTGCTTCCCTCGTCGATTTGTCTTTGCTGGCGAGAACCTTTCGAATCGGATTTTACTGATGCATAGGATGTTCCTAAATTGGACTCCGATCTAGCAGCAGGTCTTGCCTCCGCTCCTTGATCACTGACGTGACCCTGATTCCGCCCTTCCTGTAATCTGGCAAGGATCAGGTCCTGCAATTCGGTGCACTTATCGGCTGCTTCTTGCTCATAGCGTTCAGCACGCTCTCTTTCAAATTCGTCTCCCGCAATACGGTCGAAGTAATTCCAGTTGGCATCTTGCAACCCTTTTAAAGCGTCGTCTAGCTCCTTAAGTATCGCCCACATCTCCCCACGAGTGGCACTAATTTCTAGCAAAACAATCCCTCTCCGCCTTATCCTGTTCAAAGCGGCGAGCTCTTGTCCCCGTTTGCGCCTCAAGTCTGACAACGAACGGCTTGGAGTTGACATGTCTTCTCTTAAAACTGTAGAATCTTCTGGGTCGATTCGGTCTTTAAAACGCACTGATTTCTAGTCTTCCTGTATATTCCTTGATATTGCACCAAACCAATCAAATCAAAGGTTACATTACGACAATTTTATCAAAGTGTGAGACAATACAGTTTCAAGTGGTTTTAAGAGAATGACCTTTCCCACAACTGAAGATTCTATGTAAACAATTTTAAATTACTCAAACAAAACTAAACAAAACACAAAACAAAGTGTGTCAACAAATTGACACAAAAGTATTAAATTAGTCGCTGCTCAAACCGAAAAGTCACATGCTTTGTTTTGAGAACGACCCTCCCTCATTATGGTCGCGCCACTACAGAGGGTGAGGGTGGATATTGGATGTAGCAGCGTGTTCACCTTTTACGATACGCAGCGACTCAATGCGCAGCCCGGCGACTGATTATCTGATGCAATCCCCCCCCCCCCCCCCTCTAAGCTTTTTCGTAAATAACAAAAACGGCGGCGCATAGCGCCGCCAAATTTTGCATACATTCTAAGGCAGCCTTTTGACACATATCCTGAAAATTTCAGGTCTCAGTCTTTTTCAGGTCAGGTCACCAGGTCACAAATACCGGTACAAGGTCTGGGAAAATTGGACTAGTTTAGCGGCAACTGAATGCCAGAGGTTGTCGTCGATAGCGTGAGTGCAATGGTACGTAGCGCTACCAAATTTTAGACACGACTTGGGGCATTTATGTGTCACATGACCTGAGGGTTTTGAGTTTTAGTGACTTCAGGTCAGGTTACAAGGTCACAAAAACCGGTACATTGTCAAAATGGTACTAAAAATGCATTATTTGTTCAAGAAAACTAGTTCTTCATCGCTTTCATTCAAACTTGCAGGATATGCTTAGCTCACCAATTGCAAAAAACACCCCTTTTAGGTGTCATTATTTTTTCAGTGTGCCATCATACGCATCGCATTTTTTCAAATTCGGCTCACCTGAGGTCATCCAGAGGTCATGACAAATTGGAAATTTGCCCGAATGGGTCTAACTTCTAAGTGTGTAAAGATGAGAAATTTGTGCTCCATTTCAACGTCTTTGTGTTGTACTACCTTGACTTATATCTGCTTGGTGTTTGCAAGCTGCAAGAACGCTAGGGTCGGGTCAACTGAGGTCAGCTAAGGTCAAACTACATTTTTACTAGTATCTTGGCTTGGCACACAATGAGGCTAGAGCTTCAAAAATGGTGTCATTGTGCTCCTTGCGATCAGCTGATTTGAATGATATGCGATATTATGCACTTTGATTAACTTGAACTTAATTAATTACTTTAAGTTCACTTAATTTTAAGACAATTCGGAGTTCATTTAAATTTGTAACAAAATATATCAGATGATGCGCACGGAGGTGCTGAGTTCAATGGTGCTTTTATTTTTGCTCTATCTTTACTAGATAAAAAGACATACCTAAGCGAAAACTGACATGTTTCAGCGATTTTTTTTATTTATACCCCCCAAAAAAACCCTTATTAGTGATATAAAGCAATAAAATTTGCAAAGAGGTGAGATATCCTATGGACCCAACTATCCCGCAAATTTGGCGTTTTAAGTGCCGTAGGAGCCAATTGCGAGGGGGGTCATACCAACCCCCCTCGCCGTCCGTGTTATGAAAAAGGCTCTCGCCTGGCGAGGATTAACAATCAACTTCAAAATTTGACCTCACTTGATCTGACCTTGACCTGACATCGACCTTCAATTAACCCGCGCCCCACTGGGGGGTTACGAATAGCCCCCCTCCCGTTTTTCTGCAATAACTTCTAAACCGCTCAACGTATCGCCGCCAAACTTTCACTACCTTCGGCTGCATCAATTTGACACCTTGTGTCAAAATTTGAGCTTCGTATCTATCATAGGTCGGCCGGAAATTACGTCAGAGTGACGTCATGTTCGGCCGATTTCGACGCAAAACATTGAACCACGGGAATCGCGGGAAAAGAGCTCAGTTTTTAAGCTAGATCCAATTTTGTTTTGCATGAGAGGACCCAGAATGGATGGCGCTATCAAACAGACATCTCAAATTTTCAAAATTTTGAAATTTTTGAAAATTATATTTATTAAAATTCAAAACTTTTATTTTCATATTTTTTGACTTTTCGAAAAAACGGAATATATATGATAGAAAACATGCTAATGACTTACTCTAGCAAGTTTTAGCCAGATATCTTCAAAACTGGCTTAGTTATGCGCATTATAGCAAAAAATTCACAATTTTAAATTTTTCAAATCAATTTTTCTGTACGAGTTTGACATCGTACACCAATATAAATAGCACCATCGTGTTCCTGAGCTCAAACTGCACCCGATAGACGTGTTTTTTGTTGAAAAATTTTAACTTTGAAATTGAACCTTTTTGTCTGACCTGAAAGTGACCTGACCTCAGCTATATGCAGATGAAAATGGCCTCAAATGACAGAGGCGACACCGAAGTCGAAGGCTATGGCCTAAATGTGCCATAAAACATGTGTCACGTGACCGACTTGTGACATAAGATTTCCGTGACCTGTGATGACCTGACCCTGACCTGAAAATCAAAGTACAAGTTTGGGAACCTCAGGGTATCTGAAGCATCTGTTCACGAGTGTGTAAACCAAAAATCAGCCTGATCTGACTTGTAAGACGGCAGCCAGAGCCCAAAATGTGAACAAGCCAAAATGCTAATAATTTTTATTTGACCTGACCTGTGACGTCATCGGTGACCTCGAGGTCAATGAAATTAGGTTTCGTTCGACAGTTTTTCCGGGGCTATCAGGCGCCGTTTGAATTTTGACGATCGGCCCAGTAGTTTCGGAGTTAGGAGGGGGGGCTATGGAGAGCCCCCCCCCCCCCCACCCCAGTAGGGCGTGTTATACGCAGACCCCAGTGGGGCGCGGGTTATGTTCCGGTTGGTGTGATAAGACCGGTCTGTTGGAGACAGAGCTCCACTCACCGCTCTGCTGAACGCCACGCCACATCCCCGGCTGCGCACGGGCGACCCTGCTCAGTGCCCAGTCGAGTGGCCATCCACTCACAGCGCTAAGTGTTGCACCATGAGTGCCGCCTCGTTTGCATTAACCCTCTCCTGATGCTGATGCTGCCTCACAGCTGGGCCGCGTACCTATACCGGCAATCGCCGAAGGCCGGGTGATGAGAGGGACATATATCATTCAAGTGGTTCATTTTAAAGGCATCCTGTACATACGTAGGTACATATGAAGTCGTAAGTCGCCATTGCTTGGTCAATATCAAGCTTGTCGTTTCAACAAAGAAGAGGGTGTTGAGAGGAAGAGGAGAGAGGGAGAGGGAGGGGGAAGGTCAGAGATACCTAGAGGGAGAAAAAAAGAAATACATGCCAGTTGCCAAGACAAAGATATAGAAGGAAAATAATTATTTCGACTTATATAGCACAGCATGCTAAGTGCTAACTCGGAACTCCCTCCATTTGGCGAAAGAACGCAACGTGGCCTACCAATATCTTGACACTAAGGCACTCTAAGGCCAACATTACCCGACCATAAGAGCATCGTTTGCCTGTCCCTCGTTGATATTAATGGAGAGTAATGAAGATGTCACAGGAATAAAATAGTTTTGACAGGTAGGTTATATGTGTCCAAGAAGTTTTCGTGAGCACGTTGATACAGCAAACGGGCGTCACATCGTAAATCGTAATCATATTTTGACAGAGGCACCACAACAATAAAAGGGTGTGCTAATCTCGCAAAAAACAGTTCGAGCGCCCGTATCAAATGTGCAGTTTTCGTAAATTAATCCGTAAAATATAAAGCGACACTCAATGTATAAACAAAATTGCAGGTAAATATACACATTTACAAAATCAAAGGTAAATCAGCTCAAACGTTCAAACATAAGCTCTTCTCAAATATGGACAAAAAGCCGAGCTCCAGTAAAAATAACTGGCGACTTAGATCTGGTATCACTACAGACGACATCGAAAGTTTTGCCCAGCGATATCGGAATTCTAGCGACGAGAAAAGGGCGATCAAAGATGCTTATATCAAGGGTCGAGGTTGCATGGACTACATCCTTGAACACGTGATGTGTACAACCGTCGCCGATGAACCCCGCATCAGACAAATTATCGAAGAAATGATCGAACAGAAAACAGTGCCGGCGTTCGACAAGTTTCACAACGATTTCGAAGCGAGAGAAAACAGGAAACGAAAAGCAAATGAAGAGGCTCTTGAAGCAAAACGTATTAGACAGGATATGGGAACAATGGCTCAGCGGCGGTCACAAAACTTTTCAGAGTTTTGCGACTACTTAGAAGCCAAATACAAGGACGAAGATAGCTCAGAGGATTATGCTGCTGAGGAAGAAGAGTCGTCAGAGGACAGTGATTCGGATATCGAAACGCCAGTCAGCAAGAAGAGTAAATGTTAAGGTAGTCTAACTTCTGGTGACTGCATTTTTTTCATGTGAAGTTAAATTATTTGTTTCGTGTTCTTATGAACAAAGACACAAATCAAGCATCAGACCCACTTTGCGATCCATGCTTGCGTTGTCCTAAAGCACCGTGCCAGTTACATTACAGTGTTCTTTCTCAGCCGAAATAAATCTGAAAAAAAATCAGACGCCGATAGACCGGAGGTGCTCACTCAGCCCCCAGACTTTCAGCGTAGCAGCGATTAAAGCGGACGCTTCTCCAAACCAAAGTTGCCTTCATAGACACCTGGTAGACGCACTACCCATATATTGCGCACGATGGGGTTACGATAATGGACTACAGCGGGAGGACAGGGTCCGGGTCCAGGTCCGGGTCACAGACGCTCCACCGGACCCGGTATCCGACAGATGTCACGTATACTAGGGAACCAGATCAGAGACAGCGGGAACGAACGGCACAGGAGGGCAGAGCAGCACGACCGACCGCGAATGGAGGAATTATAGCAACCAAGAGAGAAGTACATATTCATAGGCGTTAAGCAAATAATCGGCGCTCAAAGCTCTCGGAAGAGTAGAGGGCAAGACATGATGCAACTGATCCCAAGGCGCACCTACCAAGTGTCACAACTGGGCTCCAATGTTTGTCTTTCACATTGCTCGGCTGGCGCCGCGGCGCGAGTTCGTCACCGGTCAGCAGCTATCGGCACCGACGGCCGCCGAAAGCCCCCTCAGAGTCGACACCTGCCGAGGTTACCGGCCGCACGGGCAAGATTCGACTGGGCAGGCAGGGTACACATACAGTTACACACACACATACACACACAGTTCTGGAGGCGGGCTAGGAGAGTAGGCGTGCGACAGACTGCCGGCTACTGAGCAAGCGGCGGCCCCAGTCCGGCACCGTTCACAAGGGGTCGATCGCCAAGCGGCGGTGCTAGCACGATCCGTTGGATGAGTCCTGGGTTCGCAGCGGCGGTGCTAGCACGATCGGCTGGACAACTCCGGACTGACCGGCCGCTGACTGGCCCGGAAACTGAGTCCACCTGCCGCCCCCTCTGAGTCGCTGAGTAACCCAGTCGCGACACCCCGCCTCCCTACACTGACTGCCGAGTCTTCGCCCGGTCTCCCGCCCCTCCCCGTCCCACACAGCGGCCCTCCCCTCTCCAGTCCAGCACCCGGCCGCGGGGCGCACACATCACTAAAGCACGCGGGCGTCTGCGCGGCGCGGCGCGGCCGGTGACGGCGCCGTCTGGCGGCCCACCGTCGACGGAATGGTGGCGCCCCCGGCCGCCGCGCCGCCACCCCTCGCCCCTATCACAAGTCTGGGCCGGGCTCGGAGCGCCGGCCCGGCAGCACTGGCGTCGGCCCGGGCCTGTCGGCGAACAGACGGGACCGGCAGGGACCAGCAGGGACCAGCAGTGGTCGCTGGGGACCAGCAGGGACCAGCAGTGGTCGCTGGGGACCGCTCTGGGACCCGGCGCGGCTCACCTTCTGCCGGCCCGGGCGGCGCCTGCTGCTCCGGTCCGGGAGGGCCCGCGGCACCCGCTGCTCCGGCCCGGGAGGGCCCGCGGCGCCCGCTGCTGCGGCCCCGGCGCGGCACAGCCCGCGGCGCCCGCTGCTGCGGCGGCCCGGGACGGCCCGTGCCCTCCCTCTGAGATCGGCGGCGCGCTCGGCGGCCGCACCTACGCGATGGCCTGCTGCATGAACTCGAGGAAGCGGCGGCCGTACACCTCGGGGCCCACGGTGGAGATGCCGTCCACGCCGCTGCCGTACTTGACCGTTTTGGCCGCCTTGGCCGCCTGCTTCTTCATGCCGTAGTGGGTCAGCACGTCGATGATGGCCAGGAAGTAGATATACTTGGGCGTGCCGTCGCCTGGCCGGAAAAACACACAGAGGGGCGGGGCACAGCGGTCAGACGGCGGCAAACAAACGCAGGTGCGTGTGAAATACCATCTCAGAAGCCCTTCACTTCACTTCATAGTCAATATCAGCTGATCCAATCACAACCTGACAAGTCGACGATAAAATACAAAAACTACTCGAACATCAGCAAAAACGGATGAGAAAGAAACACATATCGTTAAGAGCTGCTGCGAGGAGCATGATAAATGTAGGAAGTATCATTAGAATATATGACCTTCTCCTCGGAAAATGACCAAATGAATGAAAATGATTATTTATTGATGAATTGATGATATTTCGGTCACAGACCTTCGTCAGGTCTGTGACCGAAATATCATCAATTCATCAATAAATAATCATTTTCATTCATTTGGTCATTTTCCGAGGAGAAGGTCATATATTCTAATGATACTTCCTACGAGAAAGAAACACGTTTGAAAACTATGAGTCTTGAGTTCTCAGAAACGTAAGATACATCGAGCCACCGTAGCGGAGACCCAGGTGACCGAAGCAGGCCCTACAAAGAGCAGGACAGCAGACGGTACAAAATGATGAATATCCTTCCCCACACTCATTCAAGATCCCATCAACTGATCTAGAATACCGGGTCTCCTACCCCATGCGCCTTTAGGGTTCTGTCAATCGCTCTCGCCACTAGCGCCACTCTCCTGCCCCTCTGACATCCCTCTCCCGTCCCTATGCCCCTCTGACCCCCCCCCCCCGTCCCTCGCCCGGCCCGTGCCTTTTACCACCCTCCCGCCCAGCTCTGACAGCTCCGAATCGACCGGTGCCCGTTCTCACCGTCGCTGCTGGGGATGGCGTAGATGTCCTTGTGCGGGTCGATGCAGTCGTCCGAGCTGAGCCGGTGCCGGTCAGGAATCTGCGGCGAGTCGGGCGGCGTGGGCACGCTGGCCGGCCCGCCGGAGCCGCCGCCGCCGCCGGCCGCGCACCCCGAGCCGCACGAGTCGTCCTCCTCCTCCAGCGGCGGCGGCTCCTCGTCGGCCGGCTGGCGCGCCGCCTCCTGACGCTCGCGCTCGTGGCGCTCCACGTCATGCACGCCGAGCAGCAGCGAGTAGTCCATCAGCTGCAGTCGGGACAAAAACTGAAACAGGGGAGAGAGACAATCAGTCCATCAGCTGGAGCCGGGACAGAAACTGAAACAGGGGGAGAGACAATCAGTCCATCAGCTGCAGCCGGGACAGAAACTGAAACAGGGGGAAAGAGGGGTCAACAGTCCATCAGCTACAGCTGGGACAGAAACTGAAACGGGAAGGGGAGAGGGTCAGCACAACACTCCCTTTGCCGCGACAAAAACTGCAACATGGAGAGGGAGGGTCAACACAACACTACTGGCTGCAGTAGTGTTGGACGACTTAACCCTCACCGGATCTATTGGTTGTAACTAGGTGTACGGCCCGATCGATTGCATGCATCGGTTGATGTCCCTTGTATTCGCCAGCACAGATCAGACAATCCGGGCGCGGGGATCAGAGAGGAGACAGTCGGTTCTCTGGGCAGTGGCGGGGAGTGTGACCACTCCACTTCCCAGCTCCCACAGATCAACCCTCAGATGCGGAGTACTGCACAAACAATTAACTGGATGCAATACCATTCGCTTCACCCCATATTGCACCCCATGGACCCCATTTGCATCCCAATTGCAAGTTCAGCCCGTAGCATTCCGATAAAAATACATAGTAATATAGGTATACCAGTAACTAGCAAGGAAGAAGTGACTCAGACTAACTCGGGCCTTCATATCAGATATCGGGTCGAGATGTCGCCGTTAGCCGCCGCCCGGCCGACCGACCCGGATCCGATAGGCCAGTTCTCCATCGGTTTTATGTGCCACAGATGACAAAGTACGCGGCCGGGGGCGGGATGCGCTCACTGCGCTGCCGTCCTGTACGGGGGGACGGCCACAATCGGTGACGACACCGGCCTGCGTCAGTGCAGGACTTTCCGCCGACAGCGAGACGCGTGCCGGCTCTATCACAGACGGAAGGAGGGGAGGGGAGCGGCGACCAGACACGAGGAACGCCGGGAGATGTTGACACAAATCACAGCGGGGCCGGCCCCGCGCCGCCGGGAACCACAGCGGTCGGGAACCGCGCCGGACACGTGGAGCCGTTCACCACCACCCGGTGTCGGTAACACGGGTGTTTGCGGCGGTATTAGCAGAGGACATGGTCCATCTCCCGGGAGGATAATAATAATCGAACGTCAAACAAAGCACCTCTGGGCAAGCGGGGATACAAAGTCGTACTTATAGAACACGTTGACCGATGGCCGGACCGGTCCAACGCTGTAAAATCATCGTCAATGTTCGTCTCACACAACGACTGAGAGCGTATTGAGGAGGACAGAGGTGAAGCGCGGGTTCCTCAGCACCTCACCGCGTGGCGTGTGGTAATGGTATGCCAAGCCGCTTCATCGCTCAATGCTGAGTTTGCGCTAATGACATTTCGGATAGGGACGGCTCTGATAAAGAATTCAAATGGACTTCCTCTATCTAGTTCGTCACATTGTTGGAACTTTCGTTACCTGTTTGCATATATAATCAGCAATCGTACTGTCCATTTAAAACCTTTCTCATTATTCCGAAATCCACAATACGTCTCTGAGCCAAAGTCGGCTCTTGCGATGCCAAGGTTGATGAGCTTCCGATCCGCTGGCGTCTCCTGCCTCGAACCTTCGATCTATTAGGGCCTCCAGTCATTTCCGCATATCACCGTGGGAAAAGTTTTCATTGCATAGGAGATATTAAGTGTGTCATTCCCTCATTCACCGCCCCCATCAAAAATGCTATTTGTAATGCAAACAGTCAGCTGTTCAGCTGGAATCACAAAGACAGCCGGGTTGATGTCAGAAATCTTCACGCAGTCCGTGCGGCAGCCTGGCCCGTCAGACTCAGAAGGCCGTGAATCACTCGCAGGACGGACCCAATCCGGCCGTCCTTCACGTGTGATAGGACAGCGCGCAATGACGGACCCGCGGCAGCCACCAGCGTGATAGCCTAATCCCCGTCGGAGCGTCGCCCGTCAGCGGTATCTGTACCCAGGCGACCAGACGGCACTCCGAGCAGACATCCCCGAGAGCCAGCCAACATCCGGGCCGGGCCTTTTATGACGTGCTGGCTGCACAATCTAATCGTTTTCCAAGCGGCCCACGCCGTGATAGCAGGTACGCAGGCGGGACTGGGTCGGCGCGCCGCGCAGCCAGTCGGAGGATTGTCCTGCATCGCGGCGGTCTGATCACCGCGCCCGAGCGCAGGTCAGCGCAGGTCACCGCCGCCCGCCCCAGACACCGCCAGCCATGGCCAGCGCCGCGCGACTCGGTCTCAGTCTCATCGCCGCCGCGTCGGTGATAGCCGTGCAACATGGTGAGTGGCAAGGGCAACGGCACTGCCCGTTATACGTATCTGGTGCAGCCAATTGATGGACGGCAACGTGCCCCCTCCCCAAAATATAACCAAAGTATAGCACTACTGCGCTGGAACAAAAGTAATATCAAGCTTTTCGCTGTCAATAACATCAATACTTATAACTTTAATTCACACCTCGAGGTACCCATAAGGTACCCATGCTTAAAAGAATTTAAATAGGCAAAAGGCGTTGAAGAAAAATTGTCCGTCGTTAGAAAAAAGATGTTAGGTAGGTCCTTCAAAACCCTAATTTCCACCAAAGAAAACAAGGAACAGCTGACGTGCCACACCCAAAACGGGTAGAGCAGCAAACACACAGAACCATAGGTAGAAGGAGCACTGAGTACACTAGATTGGTTAATGGATAACCCGCGCATGACTGGGAGATAGGTATTCCATTTAGCCCATGTAACTGGGGGAGGGTTCTACAGACCTCCCCACCTCCCGTATCTACGAAAGCGCTGGTCCGATTGTCAAAATTCAAATGGCATGTGATATCACCTGCCACTTGCAAAACTATTGAACGAATCCTAATATCACTTATCTAGAGGTCACTAATGACGTTACAGGTCAGGCCAAAGTAGAGAATATCGATATTTAGTCATGTTTACTCATCGGGCTCTGGCCGCCGCCAGATACGTCACATCAAGCGCATATTTAGTTTACACACTCAATGTATGCGAAAGATACCCTGTGGGTACCGAGCTTGTACTCGGTATGTTTCGGGTCAAGGGTAGGTCAGTCCAGGTCACGAATGGTCACGGAAATTTTAAGGCGCGCTGTAGTGTTACTGTCTCTGTTCCGGTCCTCTGACGATCCCGGCCCCGTCCGTTGCAGCCGGGGCGCTGCCCCCGCCGTCCGCCGAACTGGCCGCGGCAGACGTGCTGGAGAGCATCCAGCAGCAGGTACACACCATGCAGAGCCAGCTGACGGACCTGCTGACCGCCATCGACACGGAGCCAACATCACCCCAGCCTACAACGCAGAAAGTCACAACACCGGAGCCAACAACACCCGAGCCTACAACGCAAAAGGTTACAACTCCCGAGCCTACAACACAGAAAGTTACAACTCCGGAGCCTACAACACAGAAGGTCACAACGCCGGAGCCTACCACACAGAAGGTTACAACACCTGAGCCTACAACGCAGAAAGTTACAACACCGGAGCCTACGACACAAAAGTTTACAACTCCCGAGCCTACCACACAGAAAGTTACAACTCCGGAGCCTACCACACAGAAGGTCACAACGCCGGAGCCTACAACACAGAAGGTTACAACTCCAGAGCCCACAACGCAGAAAAGTACAACACCGGAGCCAACAACACCCGAACCTACAACGCAGAAAGTTACAACACCGGAGCCTACAACACAGAAAGCTTCAACTCCGGAGCCTACAACTCAAAAGATTACAACGCCGGAGCCTACAACACCGGAGCCTACAACGCAAAAGATTACAACTCCCGAGCCTACTACACAGAAAGTTACAACCCTGGAGCCAACAACACAGAAAGTTACAACTCCGGAGCCTACAACTCAGAAGATCACAACGCCGGAGCCTACAACACAGAAGGTCACAACAACGGAGCCTACAACGCAAAAGGTTACAACTCCCGAGCCTACTACACAGAAAGTTACGACTCCGGAGCCTACAACTCAGAAGATTACAACGCCGGAGCCTACAACACAGAAGGTCACAACTCCGGAGCCTACAACGCAAAAGGTTACGACTCCCGAGCCTACTACACAGAAAGTTACAACTCCGGAGCATACAACACCTGAGCCTACAACACAGAGGGTTACAACGCAGGATCCTACAACACAAAAGGTTACAACCCCAGAGCCAACAACAACGACGCCTACAACTCCCGAGCCTACGACGCAGAAAGTTACGACTCCGGGGCCAACAACGCCGGAGCCTACAACGCAAAAAGTTACGACGCTGGAGCCGACAACACCTGAGCCTACAACACAAAAGGTTACAACTCCAGAACCTACAACACAGAGGGTTACAACGCTGGAACCTACAACACAGAAAGTTACAACGCCGGAGCCTACAACGCAGAAAGTTACAACCCCAGAACCGACAACACCTGAGCCTACGACGCAGAAAGTTACAACAACGGAGCCAACAACACCGGAGCCTACAACGCAAAAGGTTACAACTCCCGAGCCTACAACACAGAAAGTTACAACTCCGGAGCCTACAACACAGAAGGTTACAACACCGGCGCCTACGACGCAGAAAGTTACAACTCCCCAGCCTACAACACAGAAAGTTACAACGCCGGAGCCAACAACACCGGAGCCAACAACACAAAAGGTTACAACTCCGGAGCCAACAACACCGGAGCCTACAACACAAAAGGTTACAACTCCGGAGCCTACAACACAAAAGGTTACAACTCCGGAGCCTACGACGCAGAAAGTTACAACGCCGGAGCCTACGACGCAAAAGGTTACAACTTCCAAGCCTACCACACAGAAAGTTACAACTCCGGAGCCTACAACACCTGAGCCTACAACACAAAAGGCTACAACGCCGGAGCCTACCACTGCGAAGGCCTCTACAGTGGGACCCACTGGTGGCTCTTCCCCTTCGGGTCTGTTCAGGGTGTCGCTCCGCGGCGCTCCTGCCCTGACGTTCCGGCTCGCCCGTCTCCTGAATGAGGTCAGCTGCGAGTCGCTGCAGCGGGACCTGAACCGGACGCTGGACGACGTCGACGACGCCCTGGCGCTGGTGGATGCGCAGCAGTTCGACAACGCCACCCTCGGCGCACTGTCCGCCGGCAACGAGCGGCTCAACTGGACGCTGGAGTGCGCCGACACCGGCCGGCTGGTGCTGAGCGGCGGCGAGCGCGACTTCCTGCGCCAGCGGATCCCCGCCGTGGAGACCACCGCCGCCGCCGCCGCCGACACCATCGACGGCATCGTCAGCCCGCCGACGCCGGCGCCAGCTGACGACTCGGGCTTCCGGTCGGCGACCATCGCGCTGGGCGTGCTGCTGTCGCTGACGCTGGTCGGTGCCGCCGTGCTGGCCGTGCTGGTCACCCGCCGGAGAGCCGCCGCCGGCCAGGGACTCGACAACGAGGGCTTCAACTGAGACAACAGCCGCTCCAACTGAGACAACAGCCGCTTCAATTAGACAAAACCTCTCCAACTGAGACTCCGACGGCTTCAACTAAGATATCGACCGTATCGACTGTCACTCTGCCGGACACTATCCGGCGGAGAGTGGTGTCCTTCTGTCATCTCCTAGCGTCTTGCAGCGGAATGAAGCCGGTATAACAGACGGCATGTGCTGCCCAAGTCGCTGCTCCACACAAGTATTAGTTATACCAGTGTCACGTATCGGCTAATAGTGCGCTCGTGGGTGCACAGATGTCGCTGCTACTATTTTTGTAAGTGCGAATGACACCGTTCCACAATCGCTCTTTCTGTCCGTGTAATCATTCTCATCTCATAATTCGGGTGTTCCAGAGGTGAGTGCGTGCTTTAACGGCGATCCACAGAGCGTCGGTAGGTAGTGGTGTCAGGCGCACAGCCGGCCGGCGCGGTAAAAGCGCACGCCGTGCGGTGTGGTGCGGAGTGTGAGTGTAGATAATGTGCAGACAGAACTGAAATTAAAACAGATCAGCCACGTGGAGCCGTGGAGATGAATTCACAACCTATATCGGCTGGCGACATAAGATATACGCAATGCAATGATGTGTCCGACGAGCGCAAATGCAACGTGTGCCTGTATGTGGTTATCATGGGCGTCGAAACCGGGGGGGACGGGGGGGACGCGTCCCCCCCAGTCGAGGAATCCGGGGGGGACGTCCCCCGCAAAAATATCCTCATGAATGATTAAAAAAGTGATCAACGAAATTGGTGTATTGTCGTTTTGGGATGAAATTGCGGATACCTACTCGTATACAAATTGAATCATGCGAATTGCTGACACTGCACTTGCTTGCAGGGCTGCGGAGTAGATTGATTTTGGTAGCTCTGACTCCGACTTTTAAAAAATCGCTCGGAGTCCCCACCCCATCTCCGATCACGGCATCCCTCGGCCCGCATCGGAGTGAAAAACATGTGATGTGATGCTTTTGTCTCTTTGAACATTTCTTGGCACGTTAAAAGATAACATTACCTACGAGGTGCAGCTCTGGACTGTCCGTCCCAGGTCCTCGATAGGGAGCCAAAGCTCCAGTTGTAGGGGCGACCATATTCAACAAGGGCTGAAGATCTGTCCCAAAGTCTCAAGCTTGCAAAGACCACACATTTTATGTAGGATATTCGTAATAGTCAAGACCTTCAGCTCACTCTCAAACGGCCCTCTTCCCGTTCAAGGCCATCCGACAGCAGAAGGTCTCACCATGTCCTTTGAACGCTTGATGCTTGAGGGTGAGAGGACCTCGTCCTGGTCTGAGAGAGCCCAGGAGGATGTAATACTCAGTATGGTCCTACATTGGTCTTACCATGACCCGGCCTTCAATCACCACAGCCAACAGAATCTCCAGCTTTTATCCGACCCATCCTCGGGGATGACGTTGACTCTGACTTCAGAGTTGAAGTCTGGTACGACTTTGGTGACTCCAACTCCGTATCCGACCAAAACCGTCGACTACGACCGAAGTCGACTCCGACCCCGCGGTCCTGCAGCTACACTGCACAGAGTTTCAAACTTCTTGGAAATAAGCTGTACCTATGGTTGACAGAGGACCACACGATTTTTTAGAGGCAGGGCTGCTGGACTTGGTGACCAGATCCTAACTGTCCTGGTATCAAACTTATTACTCGGGATGCAAAATTTATGCGTTTTGGGACTGTTTTGCCAAGAGTTTTTGCCAATTTTCGCGGCGCTTCGCGCCGCCAATTCATGCACAGATAGAAAAGAGTGTGACTAATAACGCCTCCACGCGAGAACATGAGAACATGTGTATTGTGTATGCGTTATAAGTAGTGCATAGGCCTGAAATTGTACGGTAACTAGCTTTTGGGTTTTTAGTCAGCCAATCCGTCCCCCCCAGTCAAAAATCCGTGGCGACGCCCCTGGTGGTTATTCATATTCAATGTCAATAAAACATCAGATCAGGTGCGAAGAACACCAAATGACTTTGATAGAAACGACGTGTGCCAGGCGGAACTACCAAGTCCCCTTCATGTCCCGATGAAAGCCTGGTGCAGGAAATCAGTTCATCTCCTTTTCAAACTAAGGTAATAGCGACAGTTTAATTACCAGGAGTCAATGTAATGATACGCCTTACACTTATGCATTTTTTGCTGCACGTTTACTCCCATAAATGACCATCGTGGCTTATGGCGTTTGGACTATGTGCCTTGACGCATACAGCCGATAACGACTCCATCATCGGACCGACATTGGCGCGGCAGGCGTGCCGCGCAGGGCGGACCGGGGAGGTGAGCCAGTGAGCCCGCTCCTAGTCCGCCGGTAGCGGCAGATAGGCGGTATCTGGTTGTATCTGTGGAGTCGGACCGACTGCCGTATTATAATCCATACGGCGTGGCGTCACCGGACGGCGCGAATAGCCGCAGCGCCGCCGACCGGGTCCAGCTGCTGCCTGAGCAGCCAGGTGCCCCTGCAGCCGCCCCGTAACCCGGCGACCAGACGTCTCACTGATCGGGTATAGCTGCCCCTGCAGCAACACAGTAAACCGGCGACCAGACCGCCGCCGAACGGGTCCAGGTGCTGCATGAACAGCAAACAACTGCCAGAGCAGCCCCGTAACCCGGCGACCAGACGCGCCGCCGGACGGGTCCAGCCGCCCCTGCAGCGGCCCCGTAAATCGGCGACCTGACGTGCCGCCGACTGCGCCGCTGTTCCAACCGGAAACCTGGTGAATAGGTATCCACTATCAACCCTGAAAAGCACCGGTAACGGCCCGCCCTGGCCCTGCTGTGACCGCAGGCCTACCCCGCTGTGACCACCGGTGACCACCGGCCCACCCAGCACTCCGCTGTGACCCGTGCCGTGAGCTCGGGAGCGGCTGACACAAGGATCCCCAGCCTCCGGTGAATTGCCGCTCTGAGCTGTTACCTGCAAAACGAGGGGCCTCGCCAGGATCTGGAGGAAAATAATGAAAGTCGCTGTCTGAAATCATCGGGGGCGAGACAGCCGGTCGCCAGCGAATTCCCTTTCTCCGTCTCACAGACTGCTATTTCTCCACTGCCGGAGCGGCGGCGGGCCGGCACCGCGCCGACCTCGGCCAGACGACAGTAAATCAGCTATCCGCGCCGGGCCGGGCCGGCCGTGTCCGGTTCAAAGGTGGATCGATGGACGGTCCACAGACGGACGGACGGACGGACGGCGATCGGCGGCAAACGGCAGACGCAGGGCGCGACACGGCGGAACGGCGTCACCGTGGCGCGGCAGACGCGGGGTCTGCACCCTCAGACAGTAGGTACACGATGGTGCTGGGTTGTAACGAATCAAAAAAGGAGATCTAAGCAACCAAAACATTTCAATCATAGTGACACCCCCTGATCTGAAGCACGGTTCGTCGGAAGGTCATCTCAGGCTCAAAAGAAACGATATATACCATTCGAAAGCTTACGGTGAGCTGAATCCAAAAATGTATTTTTTATCAAAATCGATCGATGGCCTTTTTTGAAAATTGCGTTTTTCTAAAAACTTAATAATTTTTTATTCAACGGGCAGTCCCGGACATTCTGGAAAACATAAACATGTATTTTTGAGTTCCAGTGAAAGCTGAACGCCTAAAGAACAATATTTAGCGAAGCAATATTTCCAAACATTAATATGCGTCTCCCACAGCCGAAAATAAGGCGCAATCACACAGCTCAGTGTCACGATGGACCAAAGTCAGCCACACAGAAGCGTGAAATGACCCTTATCGACTCGCAGACCCGGCGCTCTCGACCCGCCTGACCGGCCACGGAAAGAACGTTCGGCTCTCGATCTACTAAACAAATGTCAAAGTTGTCAGTTTAACTGTCCACATCGCTATTAAAGCTATTCAGGATACCTGTGAAGAAAATTCATTGTTCTGTCATCTTCACATCATGCATTAATTTGCATCTGTTCATGTCTACTTTGCTCAATTGAGCTTGGTATCATGCCCATATAAGGAAAATTGGCCGCGCTGAAATGTCAGAGGCTGCACCGGCCTCAGCTCGGGTGGAGTGGGGGTAGCGCCCGGCGGGGCAGGGTAACCTTTGACCGGTCGCACGGCCCAGCAGCTGTCACCAGTACAGCCTCTGACAGTGAAACCCCGCTCACTTCCCCTGCGCGGGCACTGATCGCAGCTGGATGGAACAAAACATGTATAAGAAAAATATAAATTAAAGCATGTTGTAAATCAAGCAGAACAATGAATTTTCTTCACAGGTATCCTGAGTAACTTTAATAGCGATGTGGACAGTTAAAGTGGCAAATATTACATTTGTTTAGTAGAACGAGAGCCGAACGTTCTTTCCGTGGCCGGTCAGGCGGGCCGAGAGCGCCGGGTCTGCGAGTCGATAAGGGTCATTTCACGCTTATGTGTGGCTGACTTTGGTCCATCGTGACACTGAGATGTGTGATTGCGCCTTATTGTCGGCTGTGGGAGACGCATATTAATGTTTGGAAATATTACTTCGCTGAATATTGTTCTTTTGGCGTTCAGCTTTCACTGGAACTCAAAAATACATGTTTATGTTTTCAAAAATGTCCGGGACAGCCCGTTGAATAAAAGATTATTAAGTTTTTACAAAAACGCAATTTTCAAAAAAGGCCATCGATCGATTTTGATAAAAAATACATTTTTGGATTCAGCTCACCGTCAGCTTTCGAATGGTATATACCGTTTCTTTTGAGCCTGAGATGACCTTCCGACGAACCGTGGAAGGGGGTGTCACTAACCATCAGATTAACCAATCAAATCCCTTAGCCGGCCGGCCGGCCGTTCCATCCCCTCAGCCGTCCGTACCATACGTCCCATCGGTCATCCAGTCCTATCAGTCCCGTCCGTCCCATCAGCTCCATCCTTTGTCGGTCCTTCAATGACCCCGTCAGCCGCCATCGCGTGCGAGGCCAAACGGGCCCGGTCAAAGGCAGGCCGGCAGCTGAGGGGCTTCCCACGGCGGCGGCCGGCGGACGAGAACGGAATCAGCTCGGCCGAGCGGGGCCATGGCAGCCAGAGAAGCGTCCAGACCAGAGCGGAATCAGCTCGGCCGAGCGGGGCCATGGCAGCCAGAGAAGCGTCCAGACCAGAACGGAATCAGCTCGGGCGAGCGGGGCCATGGCAGCCAGAGAAGCGTCCAGACCAGAACGGAATCAGCCCAGCCGGTAGGTCCGCCGGGGTGGGAGCAGCCCGACACCAGACCAGCCAGGATCCTAGGAGAGACGGGAGCAGTAGGACGTGGTGGGACGGGAGTAGCCGCGACGGAAGCAGTCGGGACACGGCGCGGAGGCGGCCCCAGCTCGCCAAACCAACAATGGGGTTGGGAACTCGATTTTTTATGAATGCATGAAAATGATCAAACTATTTTCACAGAATTTATGGTGCATACCATTGCCTCGTAAAATCAATAAGCTGAGAGAAATGGGGGAAGAAAGATAGGAAACTTGTTTTGAAAAGTTCTTGAAAAAAGATGCTCTTGATGCTGTTACGTCACATGTCACATTCTGCGGTTGACAAATAATGGCGCATCTGGCGCACCACAGATTACATGTTATATCAATGGGTGAAAGATGTTGTTTGCTTCACTCTGCCATTCGCGCTGTTTTTAACTTTAAATTATGCTAAAACATTTACGGATGAAATGTTCAGTGTCAAAAATTGATATGTCTGCCGTGTACTATATTCCCACTTAACATGAGCGCGTGATAAACATTTTATGTACCTCGAATTTTCAAATGATAAAGAGGATGAATCGGAGGATGCTGAAAAGCAAAAGCTCATTCCAATATTTGGACTACTTTACGATTAAAATGTTTACATTCCTGTCATCTAATTGATCATTTATTTGTTCTTTTTTATGAAAATAACTTAAGACGTTGAGAACCGAGGTAATTTCTATCTACCGTGCCTTAACTTACCAGCAACAGCAATCTATCTACGCCCTACGGTGGCAAGGGAGACTGTGAAAGAAGCGTAAGATGGATTCTAAACAATTCTTTTGTGATATACTGAAGGGCAAAGTGCAGAGAAGAGCGTACAAGTCCTGTTTTGTGCCAGGCTGTTGCAGTAGCACTTATGAAACTCCGAAAACGATCTTCGTTCATGTCCCGAACAACATTACCCTGAGGAGATGATCGTCTGCAATAGCAGGAAGAGCTGATGCAAGTACTTTGAAATCCACTATCAAGTCGGTGCTTTTGTTGTAATGATCACTGTGAGGTGAGATATTTTGTGCAAGGGCTGAGTGTAATGCCCAGGAAATGACCTCCATTCGCCCCTGACCGGTCAGGGGCATAAAATTTGAGTGGATGGCGGTCCGTTTGGTGTTCAGATGTCAATTGTATTTTGTTACTGTCAAACAATACATGTTATGCTGGCAGCGAATGTGTGTAACGTCGTTTTTCGAAACAGAAGTTAGAACTGTAACGGCAGAGTGCTTGCTGGTCTCATCGTAAGTATTGTAAGTGTTGTAAGCAAAAGCATTGTCAATATTGTAAGTATTGTGAGCATTGATGTATGGTAGATATCACCTCACATGATCTCGGCTCAGATAACCCTCTCCGGTGTCCCTGTCAGTAAATGGCACCTGGATCATTACAGATAAGATAATTTGTCATAATTCTTAAAGAATTGGGTGGTTTTGACTCGTTTACTCGAGGTGCAGGTCGCATTTCAATACTTTTCCATAGGCTTGCAATGTAAAGGTCACGACTCTGACCTAACCTCAGGTCACAGATAAAAAATTCTGAGATATACTTGATGATGATGATGAGATATACTTGATGAGAGGAAATAACTTCGTGAAAAACTCAAGCTCTGACGTGTTTGCAAACTTTTCTGAGGTGGGGTCAACAAACCCGCTCTGGTTACCTGACCTGACCTGACCCGGCATTTTTTTTTTTTTTGCTGAGATGTGCGCAATGAGCATTTAGGAAAAGTCACCAAATATGAGCTGAATGTCTCGCGGCGTTTGGCAATTGTACAAGAAAATCCTGAAAGGTCTCCCCGTCCGAAATAGGGTTAATGTGTATATGAAGAGTTGCAGATGCCAAACATACCCAGATCTAAGACTGCAGTTCCCAGCGCCGCTGCAACGTTTTTAAAACAAACATACATAGGACATACAAGCATGTTTATTTGCATCTCTTTTGGATAATAGCAACTCATGGCGCCATCACCCGCGATAACTGTTAGGATTTGAGATATATTTTTATGGCCATTGGTTTGGCTGTAATGTTTATTAATATTAGTTGGGCGGAGTTTGGTAGTTTTTTATTTAACTTGTGGTATGTTGTGCTGATTGCGGGTTGTTTAAACCTTTCAAATGTAAGGACCTTATTGAACTCAACCCTACCCCTACACTACCCTACATACGACTGGACGCTTTCCAAGCCCACAAGCATCACGACGCCGAGATGGAATGTAGCCGAGAAATCACCCTCGCCATCTGCTCTAGAGCTAATCGTGTGGGGCGGTGTGTGGGGCGCCGCTTAGCCTATGGGACTGCACTTCTAGTGGATGGGGGACGGGGGTGCACCTGCACCCCTTTCATATGGAAAGTTACTTCCCTGATTACAGCTCCCCGTATTGCACCTAATCAGGGAACGGCCAGCAAACGAAGGAACTATTTCTGGATGACAGGCGAATAACCGCTCACGCAAGGAGCGGAGCTCCGCCCCGTCCAAAGTGGCCAACAAAGCAGAGACAGAGGCAGCATCACATCTTCCATCAAAGAACTGGTTTCTGGCTTGGAAGATGAGCTCCATCTTTGCATCCGAGTCGGTGCTGTCAGGAATCAGCTGGTCTAATGGAGTGAGAGTAGTGAGACGACTAGCTATTGTATCAGAGCTGCCTGGTCTTCGTAGCATTTGCACCGATTCTTCTCGATCGGACTCTGAATTCTGTCCCTCCTGCGTATTACTTGAGGCATTGCTATGTAGCTAAGTCTTTGGCAGAGTTTCATTATCCATGCTTTGCAAACAGTGCCATAACAACACAGTTAATTTATCACCAAGAATGTATTTCAAGCTCATCCAGGTAAACATACACCGGCTTTTCATGTGCTTACGTCAGTTGTGGGATAAAAGGCATACACACACGACACTGATACGACATAAAACAATGCAAAAGGCAACTAACCCAATGAAAGAATGCTAAAAGGTACCACAGTAAGAACACACGAGCACGCTCACACCTGCATCTGCCGCGCCTGACCCATGTGTATCCGCAAAGCGTTTTTGAAAGCCGCGGTGCGTCCGTCCCGTACGGAGGGTGGTAGGGCATTATATGCTCGGGCCCCCCGGTAGATGAACATTCTCCTCCCTGACTCTGTTCTGATGCGTGGTAAAACAAGATGGTCGTCCTGCCTGGTCGATCTCTGCCTCACACTCATCGCCGTTCGAAAGTGACTCGCCAAGTCAGCCGGTTGTTCGTAGGTGAGGATGGCTTTCAGCAGACACAGTGTACGATACATCACGAGGTCCTCGGCAGGCAACCAGTTCAACTCGCTCAACACATCACGCACATGTTCCCGCTTTTTCCGCCCTGACACCACTCTTGCGCAAAAGTTTAACAGTTTCTTAATGCGCGTCACTGAGTGTGTAGTTGACCAAGCTTCTTTGCAAGTTCCAATACAGTTGAATCGCACGCGATTTGAGTGCAAAAATCAAGAAAAGTGCCAACTTGTTCCCGTAAAATATTTTGAATATTGAACTAAAAAAATGAGTAATTTCCAGATAAAATAACAGCGAAATCAGTTTTCGCTTGCCAATAAAACTCACAGATATTGAAGCTCCATTATTAAAGGAACATTTTAGTATATGCCATTCTTGATAAAACTTCTTAGCCACGCAATACCAGCGCAAAATAAAGAGACACTGAAAACACGACCAATCACTCCGATTTACCATAGGAAAATACATAGAAAATGTATGTCTCAACTGCGCCAAATATACAGACAGTTATATACCTACATGTGACGTCATGATTAGGCCGACCAATCAGAAGCAAGTTGTTTTCAGCCACAAATAATTAATTTCTGAACTAACTAGGCATTTTTTTTAACAAAGTGATTTTAAATTAAATCATTAAAAATTCTGAGCTTTTTTATTTTACCAAAACATGCAGAGCATGCAGATAGGTCCCAACCCTATTGTGCTAACGTTTCCATAGAAACCGGGCGCCAATAACTGGCAGCGGCGTGCCGTGAAACAGGATCTACACCTCTACGGCGGCGGCGCAGCGCCCGGCCGGGCAGGTGCAAAGAGCAGAACAGGATTAGTCAGTCCTGCGCTAATACAAGGGAAAGCCACGCCGCGCGGCCGCAGTGGCAATCGGAGGCATTATCGGCGTGTTTGCCGAGGCTTAATGTCAAACTGATTCACCTCTGCATGAACTAACACGGAATTACGAGCAGCTGCAGCACATATTTCAACATGGCCTGCGGTCGATATCAAAGGGGCACGGCCTCACTCTACTTAGCAGTGTGCCAACAGCCTGTTTGCACTAGCGAGCCAAGTAATGATGCATGATGCATATTTCTAGTAAGATGGTACAGCTGACAGACTACGCCATGACACTTGCTGACCTTTAACAACTACACAGGCTTGATAGTGGAGTTCGAAACAAATATCAACAGTTATAAGCAGAAAACAAATAATTATGAACTGACAGACAACAATCCACGCTGAAATTCAGCGCTAGTGTGCCATAGCACTTATAGCTCGGCCATATTTCATAGTATATTTCGTTTTATAAACGCTCTCGTGTCTTATAGTTTCCATAATATTCAATAGAGCGAGGATAATGCGCACAATCCCGTTAAACCGCACCTCGTAACCCTGGGCCCTCCATTGTGCAGAATATTCCCGAGTCTCGCCACTGCTCTCCCCGCTATGCGACGATCACCCTGCGTGAGACCCGAACAGGCCCCGGCGGCAATAACTCCGGACCGCGGCGCCAACCCGGCCACTACGGCGGCGGACCGCGTCACCAGAATACCCCAATAACGGCCGGACGGCGGGCGGCGGACGGGAGACGGCCCGGCCCGTGGAGACGGGGAGACGGACGAGCGGACAGTGGCGGTCGACCGCCGGAGGTACTGTAAGGAGTCGACGAGGCCCGCCGACAGGCGCCGGATCATCGGGGTAACGGTCGGTGGGGCCGGGTAAGGTGCGGCGGGGTAGGGTTGGGGTGGGGTGAGGTGGGGCCGGATTAAGGTGGGGTGGAACGACTGACGCCAGTAACCGCAGTGCAGTGACAACACAGTGATGACCTCAGCTCGCTCACTGCTGGCGCCGTCAGAACTTGAAACGCCGCCGAAACCAGCCGGCCCATAACGCTGCCACCAACAAACACAGGCGACTGATACCGGCTGTGCCTGGCGCGACCACGGACCCAGCTGCTAGACGCTGGGGAGGGTGTCAGCACATCGTGACATTTCGGAGTGACTAGGAGCATAACCAAGCTCAAAGCAACCATAGAATAGATAAACACCACATACCTATCCGATGTTCGCTAAACGATAACACACTAAAACTTCACCAACTTTGTGGGGGATCTGCTCAGTTTAAGATGATAATGTGTGTATGGCTGGCGGAGTGGAACGCAGTTGGATCAAGTCAACGTCTTCCACTAAAATCGATCAGAAGCCGCCCACGGCTGGACCACGACACCGACAGAATGGGGTTAATGCAGATTACAGGATACATCCGTCCAAGTATTCAAACTATTGGAATAGATGAGTACTCGACCTGCTACTGACTGCCTGGTGCCAGGAGCCACCGCTCGACACTCCAACAAGAATGCGTCATCTCGGGTTCCCTTGCCGATCACCTATACAACCTGCAACCAGTCCTACATACGGTCGCCCACCAACCATCTAGCCAGTCCCCAGCCTGGTCCTCTCAGACTTCCGTCCGTCTCCTCCGCCCCCAGCCCGGTCCTCTCCGTCCCCAGCCCGGTCCCCTCCGTCCCCAGTCCGTCCTCAGCCCAGTCCCCTCAGTCTTCCGTCCGGTTCTCTCCGTTCTCCCCGTCCTCCTGTTCTTCCCGTAACTCCGCCACCCCCGGACTCACCGCCACGTCTGCCGACAGCGTGTCCATCAGCTTCTCCTTGGCCAGGCCGCCGATCTCCACATGCATGCCGTCCTTGACGAAGTCGTTGTCCTTGAGCGTGGGCAGCTCCTTGCGCAGCTCCTTGGAGGTGGCGTCTCGATCCACCGTGGAGCCCTTCAGGTCATACTTCCTGAGGGACGGGCGGGGGGGGGGGGGTCACTGGGGTCGCACTTCCTGAGGGACGGGTGAGAGGGAGAGCGGTCACTGGGGTTGTTCTTCCTGCAGGACGGGTGGGGACGGACGGGGGAGGTCACTGGGGTCGTACTTGCTGAGGGACGGACGGGTGGGGGGGGGGGGGAGGATTAAAACAAAATCCTGTGCTACTATGCTGCAGTGCGACGATACGGTAACACATCATGGACTGACCGTTTTTCGTTGTATGTGCATTGTGCAATGTGCATTGTGCATAAACAACGAAAAGTGGTAAGTCATTTAAGATTAACACAAGCTGACCGTATGACAGATTCCATGAGCCGCTAAATGCCTAAACACAAGCCAAGCTAACAATAGTGAAACGGATGAGCGCATCGGGCTTAATGGAATCGATTCGGAACAACTGCAATGCTATAAAACGTCCAAATGCGCGCCTTGAGAGAAAACTCGAACCAAAACATGTCGCTTTCGCGACCCTCGGTGAGGTCCCCAGCAGCTCCGGACTCGCGGACCCACCGCTGACCGCCCCTGCTCCACCTCTCCCCGCCCCCTGCATTTCTCCCTGGGCATCTTTCTTTCAATCAGTGGCTGCACGCATGGCCGTGGCGGCTGGGCCGGACGCATCCATCGTCCGTCCATTACTGGGACCGGGGCGGGCCGGCCGGCCGGCCGGGCGGCTCTCGGCTGCGGTCGGTCGGACCCGAGCCCGATCGAAGCTGCACTGATGGCCCTTCCGGGACCGTGTTAATGCGCTTCCTGCACCGTAATATAGTTACTGTGTTTCGGCCTGTCCTTACTGTTACATATAACAGGAGAGGGATATTGTATCTAGCCGGAGATTGAGATGCTATGACCCAAACGGGACACTCCCAGCACGTGCACACTAACAATGGCTCGTGCTGAATCATCGCCCGGTGTCTTCTGGCAACAAACGCAGTAAAAAAAAAAAAAAACGCAGTCAGTGACCACCCAGTGACACCTGCGCTCGGCACCCGTTGGCGACAGATACAGGTAAAAAGCCCAGCTCCGAGGGCGGCGGACACGTGCGCTGAGTGGCACATGTGCGCCTGGGCCCGGCCGGTCTGCAGCACATGTGCGGCTGGGCTCGGCCGGTCTGTGGCACATGTGCGCCCGGGCGGTCAGTGACGCAGTGCGGCGCCGCGGGGCCCATTCAGCGCCGACCGACGGCCCGGACCAGACCGGACTGCCCCACCCAGCCAACGACGACGACGGCCCGACCACTGCCGACCCCGCCCGGCCCTCCGCCCCGCTCCGAGCCACCGACGGCGGGACGGTACCCGCCCCGCCCCGCCGAGAAGGCACCGCGCCACAGCGCCGCCGACGGCCGCGCCCTGACCCGCCCGCCCCGCCACGGACGACCCCACGCCAACGCGCCACGGATGACCCCGCCCCGCCCTACTGCAGACGGTCCCCCCCCCCCCGCTCCTACTGCCGACGGACCCCCCCCCCCCGCCCCTACCGCCGACGGACCCACCCCTCCCTGTCGCCGCCGCCGCAGCAGACGGCGGTCCCACCCCAACCCCCACCTAAACGGCTCCACCCCGCCCCGCCGCCGCGGCCGCCGCAGACGGCGCCTGGCCTTCTGTGGTGCTAATGACTGGGCGCCGGGCGCGGCGCGCTCCGGCTAATTACCAGACAGCTCTCTCAGGGGGTCGATGTGGCGTGAGAGAGTGGCGCAGCGGCCGGGGAGGTCTCCGGGACACAGTCTCGGCTAATACATTCCTGCACGAGACCGAGAAATGCACAGAATTCACAGAGCCTTTAAATAAAGCATCAAATGGGTGCCAACAGGCGTTCATAATTTAAGGCCTTGTCGAATAAATAGACCCAAGGGCTTCAGGGCGGGTCGAAGAAGAGGGTATTGACAGGAGGCGTAATAGAATGCTGGAAGGTATTTACTGCCAGAAATGATAAGCTTATCTTTATGGTGTTCCCGAAACCTAAGCTGAAAAACTCGTTTTCTCTTTCTTGAGCTCCCTACCACTCTTTCCTTGTCTGTCCCGTCCCTCTTCGCCGGCATTTTCTGGGTTTCCTCAGTAAATCACACAGTGGAAATGGCCGAAGCGTCGGAACACAGTGGCGAAGCGTTCATTTTCCAAACCCCTGTCCGAACGAGTACAGCTTTCATCCAACTCCCTATGCTTCTTCCATATCCCTAATATGGGTACAGCACATGACCACAGCGAACTCCCTCTCAGCGCTAAGAATATCAGTTTCCTGCCCCGCACAGCGCCCCTCCTCTACCAAACGCACGGCGTTTCCCGGCGCCGCAAGCGGACGTCTCACTTGTGCAGCGGCAGGTGGTTGCTGAAGACGTTGCGCATGACGACCAGGTAGTGCTCCAGGCCATCGACCGTGAACCGGTACATGCCCAGGTACTGCGGCAGCAGCGTCTTGCCGTGCCGCTCCACGATGTACTGAAACAGACCGGAGGGAGAGGTCAGAGCGGGGCTGACTGTACTGTACTGGAACAGACCGCAGGGGTCAGGGCGGCCGGTCAGAGCGGGGCTGACGGCACTGTACTGAGTCAGCGGGGAACAGCCGGTCAGGGCGGGACCGACACAGGCAAACCAACAGGGAGGCGGAGACACAGGGAGAGGGGCAAGGATACGCAAAAAGAAGACAGGGGTAGCCATGGATGTAAAAGAACAGGGCAGCGAGGAATGGTGGGTTGTATAAGCCAGGACAGTACCGGGAGAGTAGGGAGGACGTGGAGGGGGGATAAGGGCAGACGTGGGGTAAGCCACAGCAGTGTACGGGAAATCAGGGCAGTGTAGAGTAGGATAAAACACGAGAGTGTAGGCAAATTAGGGCAGTGAGGGGGAAGTGAAGGCAGAGTACGGTAAACCAGCCAGTACGGTAAACCAGCCGGCAGCAGCGTGATGGGGCCGCAGCCTCGGTGTTGGCACAGAGAGGACCCACTACCCCCGGTCCCAGCTCTCCCACTGGTCCCAGCTCTGTCCCAGCTCCCCACTTCCCCGGTGACAGCTCCCCACTGGTCCCAGCTCCCCACTTCCCCCGGTCCCAGTTGCCCACTGGTCCCAGCTCCGTCCCAGCTCCCCACAATCCCCGGTCCCCCGGGTCCCAGCTCCGTCCCAGCTCCCACTATCCCCGGTCCCACTGGTCCCAGCTGCCCATTGGTCCCAGCTCTGTCCCAGCTCCCCACTATCCCCACTACCCCCGGTCACAGCTGCCCACTGGTCCCAGCTCCACACAATCCCCGGTCCCCGGGTCCCAGCTCCGTCCCAGCCCCCAATATCCCCGGTCCCACCGGGGTCCCAGCTCTGTCCCAGCTGCCCACTATCCCCGGTCCCCGGATCCCAGCTCTGTCCGCGGAAGGGCTGATGAGTCAGCGAGACGGATTATCGGCCCAGTTTCCGGCCCTGCACTCGCCCAACTATCAGTCGCCCGGCGACAAGTTATGCTGCCAAGGCGGAATGACGTGGGGTATCGGTTCAATAAGCCCAATAAGGACCACTCAGGCGAATGGTGTGGGGCGTGGGTGGCTGCGGTTCAATATGATCCACTCGGGCGTGCATTATTAATTGAGCGAGCGAAGGTTGGCAAACGGTGCAATAAAACAGGAAAACAACGTTTATCAAATCATTTCACGAGATAACATACACATTTACCGAGCATATATGCTGATCAGAAATGCAGCTGAAACAAATAGATAAGCAGCCCTTCTCGAAATACCATACGCTTTTACTTATAAAATCCCGGCGGCCGGCACAGACATTAGTTTCGACAGCCGGTGGTGCCGTTTTGTGCCAGCGGCCCACGCCACACCACCGGCGACTGTCCGATGCAGCCCCCACTGTACCGGGTGGTACTCCTTGAGGAAGGAGTGCATCAGCTCCACCTCTTCGCTGGTCAGCGCCTTGATGATGTACAGCTTGTCGTATGACTGGTAGAACTTGGCGCCCGACTTGCCCGGCGAGTCCATGGGCGTGGCCTCAGCCCTGCCGAGAGCGGAAGGACTGGTCAGACGGCGGACCGAGAGCGGGGACTGGTCAGACGGCGGACCGAGAGCGGGGACTGGTCAGACAGCGGGTCAGAGAGCAAGGACTGGTCAGACGGCGGGTCAGACAGCGGGGACTGGTCAGACGGCGGGTCAGAGAGCGGGGACTGGTCAGACGGCGGGTCAGACAGCGGGTCAGACAGCGGGGACTGCACAATGGGTCGGATGCGGTCGCTAGCACGCCATAAATGGTTTTGGTGACTTTCCCGAAGTAACGTAAAATATGGTGCAAACGATGCAAAAATGTTCGTATTTTTATATTATGGCAGTTATTTTGCCCTGTCGAATCGTATTTACACATTATACTGCCGCAAACTGACATGTTTGGTGAGGCTCCAAAGCTCCGGTTAAAATAGCGATAACCGTGGTGGTCGAATAATGCCAGTCTACACTTAAAATAAGAGAAAGTGGGAAGAATGGGTGGTCCAGCCTAATACTTTGGAGCCTAAACAATGCAACAAAAACCGATTGCTTACTTTTGCGTTTCGTTTTCCTCTCATTTTACCGTACTAAATTAGTAGCTTCTGAGATACAACAAAAATTTCATCCAGACTTACAAACATAGAGCAATACTAAATGCCCCCCAATGCCCCCCGGAGTTTTAGCTATTACAATAATCAGGAACACCTCCCGCACAAGAAACGAGGTCGTCTAGCTGCGACCACCCGCGACGAAGCAAGTTATATAGTTTTTTTTTCTCATCTGAGATCTCGACTCTCCGCTGCCGATCAATGAAATGTGTTCTCGGAAAATGCGGTCAGAACTTTAGTTTTGGCAACAGAAACAAACAATTATGCGCGAAGACTTGAGATCAGCGGTTCTTACAAATGAAAATGTTGAATTTTCCAAATTTTGGCGTTGGACCATTTAAACCAAACAGTGAACTTTTTTATATAAACATTAAATAAACCGCATAGTTTAAAAAAATTTCAAAAAATGTTTTGATATGCTAGAAGACATTATTGTTCAGCAACCTCCATACAAAATCTAAAAGAGTTCGCTCAATTTTTGATGCCTGAATAACACTGAAATGTCAAAAGGTATTGGTTAAAAATCTTTAAGAATGATTTATTACCGTTCTGAAGCACCTACACAAAAGCAAATTACACCATTAGATATCTCGTGAAAAATGCAATCCGATAGACACCGATATTATGCGCATATAAAATATTGCAAATTTGACCCTTCTCATTTGTCTGACCCTACCCAATCTTTGACGCTTTTGGTAAAATACCTAGAAGCCGCCTATTTTGATGCATCGATCGGGCATGTGAAATAAGGGATGAAACATGTCTTGTATGAAATTTCTCAACTTGGATATGCTATCTTGGCGGGTCTTGCAACCCGACAGGGATATTTCAGCTTTGAGGTCTTTCGCGACGTGCATGCGCAGCCTGAGCTAGAAACTGCAACAGTGCTATGCAAATTTTGACGAATTCTTTTCTGTCTAAGGACGTAGCCAAGGGGGAAGACATGCCCCCCCCCCTGATGGCAAAAAAAGCTGAGCAGCACCCCCACAAATAGTGGGCCAAATCCGAGGAATCTTCCTTTTTTGGAGGGGGTATGACACTAGGCAGAATTCTAGTACGTGCGTGTTTCTAGCCGAGAGATACATATGTAGTTGCCACAAAGATATGCCATATGTGGACAAAGTTTTCTGTAGCAACGCGATGCGATGGACATTCATCTTTTTTTTTTACTCGATTCTTGACGTCATGGGGTGAGACCGAGGTGTCAGGAGTGAGCTTTTTATCGGAAACAGTGACAAAAAATTATGATCATATTAAATGCGGTTGAAAATAAACATTTGCCATGTTTTGAGCCTCATGTCAGCATAAGAGCATCAATGTCCAACATCACGTCACTAATACGTCACTCCTGTCTCCTCTTACGTCACACGTTTCATGGTAAATATCGTCGAAAACCCATCTGGGATGCTATATCTCTCATGCTTGACCCATTAGCTGCTAGTTAACAACAGCTGGGATTTTTGGCGCGCTAAATCGTGAATCGGACCCATAGTGGACTGGTCAGACGGCGGGTCAGACGGCGGGGACTGGTCAGACGGCGGGTCAGAGAGCGGGGACTGGTCAGACGGCGGGTCAGACAGCGGGGACTGGTCAGACGGCGGAAAGACAGCGGGGACTAGTCAGAGAGCGGGGACTGGTCAGACGGCGGGGACTGGTCAGACGGCGGGTCAGAGAGAGAAGACTGGTCAGACGGCTCTGCGGAGAAAGGGGACTGGTCAGACAGCGGGTCAGACGGCGGGAACTGGTCAGACGGCGGACTGAGAGCGGGGACTGGTCAGACGGCGGGGACTGGTTAGACGGCGGGTCAGACGGCGGGGACTGGTCAGACGGCGGACCGAGAGCGGGGACTGGTCAGACGGAGGGTCAGACAGCGGGGATTGGTCAGACGGCGGACTGAGAGCGGGGACTGGTCAGACGGCGGGGACTGGTCAGACGGCAGACCGCAAACTCCGGCACCTGGCACCAAAACGGGGGTTCCTCGTTTGACAGACACAGACAAGATCACTAGTGGGTGACAATCGCCGGTCACAGTCAATTAGTAACCAGTATTGAGTCGGTTTATCCAGGTCAGGTTCAGTCAGCTGGCCGTGTGGAAGCGCACTCTGCTGACACTGGTGTGCGAGCGCTGTGTCGTCACTGATATGTGCCAGCGATGTGTCGTCACTGATGTGTGTCACTGGTGTGCCGCCATTCATAAGCCGTTAGCGATCTACGAGTGATGTGCCAACACACGAAGGTCCTCGCCATAACTCAATACGGCGTAAGACGAGCCCGGAGCCACCCAGTGTTTGTCGGCAACGACAAAAATAAGCCACATAAAAGCCTGTTAAACTAGCCAGGTTACCGCTTGTCCCTGAAATGGGCATAGCTAGAAACAAAGCACCGCTGCCACAGGAAAAACAAAGTGAAAAACAATGATAACGTGTCGCATCAATACTGACTGGCAAACAGACCACAGATCCAATTGAAGTTCTTCCCAAGTCAACCTATAAGTAGCGCACGTTGATAATTTCAGACTGAGTCTCCAGTCTTTAGAGAAGTCTAGGGAGTCACGATGGTAAGGAGAGTCCATGGGAAGGCACGGTGGCAGGGAGTCACTGAGGAGTCACGGTGGCATATAGAGTCTCTGAGGAGTCACGGCGGCATAGAGAGTCTCTGAGGAGTCACGGCGGCATGGAGAAACACTGGTGGGTCACGGTGGCAGGGAGAGTCGCGGTGACATGGTTTGGAGGTCACTGGGGAGTCACGGAGTCGGGAGAGTCACTAGGGAGTCACGGCGCGGTGGTAAGGATAATCACTGCGGAGTCACAGTGCCAAGGAGTCACTAGGGAGTCACGGTGTCGGGGAGAGTCACTGTGAAGCCACGGTGGCAGGGAGTCAGTCGGCCCCTTACGGCCCGTAACCCTACTATCTATCACACCCGCCCTGTATTCCCTTCCTTCCAAGTTCCGGCCGACAGTCTGTCCATCCGGTTTGGACAGTCAGACTGCCGCCCCATCCGATATAAACTGATGCTGATATAAGTCTGACATCAACGTGCGCTCAGAGACTGAGGAGAGCGACCACACAACTGCAGGGGATGGGCCTGGCGGCTCTGGACTCGGGAGTCGCTCTGCACTCTGCAGTGAGTCCGGTACGTGACTGAGGGGATGCCGCCTCCGGATCCGGCGGTCGCTCAGTGGTGTTAGCACAGACCGGGCCGGACGTCTGTGGACCCGGGGGTCGTTCTGTAGAGACCGTTCCGGACGTCTGTGGACCCGGGGGTCGTTCTGCAGAGACCAGAGAGTACCGCCACAGACCGTTCCGGACGTCTGTGGACCCGGGGGTCGTTCTGCAGAGACCAGAGAGTACCGCCACAGACTGGGCCAGACGTCTGTGGACCCGGGGGTCGTTCTGCAGAGACTCAGAGAGTACCGCCGTCCGCCACAGACCGGGCCGGACGTCTGTGGACCCGAGTCGCTCGGCGGAGTACCGCCACTGACCGGGCCGGAAATGTGTGGCCCCGAGTCACCACGACGGCGTCCGGCCGGCCGGCGGCCGCGGTCAAGGTGACACGGAGCGTCAGAGCCGCACCGCCGAGAACAGCCCAGTTCCGCGCCGCGCCGCCGAGACACAGCCCAGTTCCGCGCCGTGTCGCCGAGACACAGCCCAGTTCCGCCGAGACACCGCCTGCAGTTCCGCGCCGCAGCGTCAGCAGATAGCGATCGGAGACCGTGCGGCCGCGTCCCGATTCTGCAGGCGACACATCGCTCAACGCTGCTGCCGCTTCAAACAGCCACGGCGATTTGCAAGCCGTCACCGCGACCGATGTACGAGCCTGTGCTAGTGCACGCTAGGTCAGAAATATTGAGGGTGGCAATGCGTCGCAATGGTGACAGAAAATGCACTGTCAGTGTCATACTTATCCCACACTCTTCTCTGTCGCGTCACGTGGCGTGGTGTATGCGCAACGCGCACGCTGCCTAGAGGTATGTGTGGAAGTGGATACGTATGCGCAAATGCCATGTTACACCAGTGGTTACACCTTATAGCGGCCAGAGGCCAGTTATGCCGAAAGGAAAATCATTCACCGCAGTTAGTGCTATGCCTCGCCTCAGAGTCGCACACTAACACGCGAAAATTTTATGACGCTGCTGTGAAAAAAGCATCGGGCTGGTTGATACTTCAGGCATCGGCGGTTAATTGTTGGCGTAACGGGTTAACTCGTGGGCGACCAACGGCTAAGAATAGCACCAGCAGGCAGCAGCCAATTTTATGTTTGTAAAACTGCCTCATGACTAAAGTTGACTTAAAAATGACGAGAGATGCTAAAAGCCACCCCAAGCGTAACACCTCAATGTGACTGAGTGTGTCCCCACTCCTCAGACAACTATTCAGTCTGTCTCAGACTGTGACACAGCAGTGTAGGCCCGGCCCGGTCCGCGGCAGTCTGCTGCTGTAGACGCCAGCCCCGCGGCGCCGCTCAGAAGCGACAGAGACGGCCGGCGGAGACAGGGCCACCGGTGTGTGCCGCTGCAGGCCCGCGTCCGAACCGCGGCCACATGCCGTGTCACGACCGCTCTGACTTATCAGACGCAGCAGCCGGGACGCGCTCGGCCTATCGGCAATAAATCAGCGGCGCTGATGGCGGGAGTTCGGGCCCGCCCAGATTCGGGGACCTCTCGGCAATGGCGCCTTCGGATTAATCCGCACGGTATACCAACTGCGCTCATACAAATGTATGAATGGCATTAGTCAGGGTTCTCGCTACTCTGTTATTAGCTCTGGGAATAAGTGATCAGGGGACCACATATGCGGTAAATGCATTGCCGTGGAGGCAGTGTGGTTCGAATCCCATCCAGTCACACGGGGACTGAGTCGATGCTGATCATGATTTCAGCCAAACATAGATCGGTGCTCCTGACTGGGCGGCGCCTGGGTCACTGGACCGGCGCCCCTGGTCGGGGGTGCCAGAGGAACCGACGACTGCTGACCATGCGCCGGGCGTGCCCAGGTTATGTTCATGCACTGCTGGCGGAGCGCACCGACGCACCGCGGATGTGTGCTGACCGGGCCGGCCACCGGGTGGCGGGCACCAGGCTCCCAGTCTGCCAGAGCGTACCTAACAAGTCTCCCAGCCAAAATCCGGTTCCACCGCTCCCCCCCCCCCAGACGTTTCTTTTTCGCAATAAATAAGAAGGCATTAACGGTGGCTGAAATTGGACACACATTTCCTTCGATCTCATCAAGATTTTTTAGCAAAACCGCATGTCAACCAGGTTGGGCCACTTGCAAATGAAGCCATCGAGAGCCTCTGCACAGTCCAAAACACAGGCGCGGATACAAGGGGGGGGGCCATGGGGGCCATGGCCCCCCCCTTGGCCGATTTTTTTTTTCAAAAATAAAATAAAAAGTTAAAAAGCTGAAAAGGGGGCCTCCTGAAAATAAAGTGGCTATTCATGTTGAGATGTTGCCTGAACAGCTAGATAAGCTCAATAGACGCAGTTTTTTTTTGGGGGGGGGCCAACAAGTGGGAAGATGGGGCCTCCAACAGGTGGGATTATGGGAGCCTCCTGGTTTCTAATGGCCCCTCCCTTGGAGATTTTCTGGATCCGCCCCTGCCAAAACATGTCGCAAGTTCGCAACGCTCTGCGTCCCAAGGAATCTCTCGCAGGGCGAAAGACTTTCAGGAAATAAAACTCACTAGTCCCTACACCTTGTTTAACCCGAATCTTTCCATATGTATCGTCTGAGGTCAGATCGAACGTCACCTCACCATCATCAGCCAACGGGGAAAATACTTATTCTGCTATTTAACGCCGGAAGTGATAACATCCTATCTCAAGCACCTAGACTCGTGATTTCTTATCCTTCTGGCACGATGGTTACTCATTGCATTCTTTTCCTTCCGTGGTGTTTCGTGTGACGTCACTAAATTCATTTGAGGTCAGCAAAGCTTTCGTCGATAGCTGCCGACCAAATTTAGTTTAGTGAGCCGGAAAAATAGAACGAATTCAGGACCAGCCGCTAAAACAAATTCCATGCAACATGAACTCCTTCAACCGATACTGCCGTCATGCTGACCTTTCCTAAACACAAAGTATGTTAACCGACGCTGATGAACGTTACAAAGGTCATGGTGTCAAAATCCCTGACCGGCAGCCATTTTTGCCGGTTATTTCCCAAATCAAAATTGGACACCGACACTTGGGCCTCATTTCATAAAGCGAGTCCGTACCTACCTAACGCCGTTTTTTTTTTTGGGGGGGGGGGGAGTTTGTATTGCAAGCGCATGTGAAGCGATACATTTATTTCCCATTCTCCCTTCTGTTCTTGCTTGCAAGATAAATATGTACATTCAACGATTCAAACTATCGTCATCGCTTCACATGCCCTTGCAGTACAAGACCAAAAAACCGCCGTAAGTTACGGACTCGCTTTATGAAACGAGACCTAGGTTCTGACTTGACCTCCCCCCCCCCCCCACACACACACACTCACATACACACTGCCACCCGCCAGCCTCCCACCATACAACCGAGCTACCGCCTTCATCCCCCTTCCCACTCCCATCTTGATCTGTCGGTCCTCGGCCATGCAACTCGACCTACCGTCCAACCCTCCCTTCCCCCACCCCCACTCCCATCTGCCCGTCCTCGGCCATACAACCCGACCTACCGTCCACCCCTCCCTTCCCCCACCCCACACCCCCACTTCCATCTGTCGGTCCTCGGCCATACAACTCGACCTACCGTCCACCCCTGCCTTCCCCCACGGCCATCACCATTACAGGCAATTACCAGCATCAGCGGAAGCCATGTCATGACCGCAAAGGCGACGGTCTCACTTCCCGGAGTCCCACAGCAGCTCTGGATGGCCTGAGCTGAGACGAAAGGAAGGCTTCACACATTTCCATGTATCCAGTGCATTGGAAAAACCGGCAAGACGCCAAGGATCACAGGCACCTCGCGCCTCACCCTGGAACCACAGGTGTCCGGAGGCTCTGGAGGCTCCCGGCACCCCGGAGCGCCTCACCCAGGAGCCACCGGTGCTCCGAGCGGATCATCCCGGAGCGGCTAGCGCCGAGGCCGACGGAGCCCTGGCGGTTCACCGCGGAGCAGCCCACCCTGTGGCCCGGCAGCTCACCCCGGAGCCACTGGAGCCAAGGCCGCCCACACGGCACCACATGCGTCCCGCCGCCCGGAATCTCACCCCGGTGCCCCGGAGTCTCAGCCCGGAGTCCGGAGCGTCTCAGCCCGGAGTCCGGAGCGTCTCACCTGGTCAGCGACTGCATGTAGTCGTGGTCGTGCACGCTGAACCGCTCCCGCAGGTTGCGGAACACCAGCGGGCAGTACTCCTTCACCTTGAAGTGACTCGGCATGTTCTCCCTGCGGAACACCGCACCGGCGTGAGACTCACAAGCAATACGACCTCTCGTAAAAACGGACACCTTCCCAATCACCATTGTTTACGTATATACCGTCTGTACAATCAGGGACGCTTAGGCACCTTCAGTTGCAAATGACAATGTGATGATGCGATGTTTTCTGTCAACACCGACGCGTTAAAAGGAGCGTCTTACTTGAATAACATTTTATTCAAGCCAGGGACTTCAGCAATCTATTTCATTTTTGCATCACAAACCAATCACCGGCTAGTGGCTACTGTTATTTTAGGCATTAACCCGGCAGTTGCTGGGGTATTTCGCCACCCACCGTTTGCTGGGGGGGGGGGCGTTAAACGCCCCCAGCCGATAACTCGAGAACCAATAGGCGCAGCGAAACGCACGAGGCGGCAAACGAAAGAACGCGACGAGACGCTTCAGATGAGTACTTTAAAGTTGAATTTTGAGGTCACAGGTCGGGTCAAGGTCAGGTCAAACACCTGAAATCGGGCTTTCAGTAGCATGGACTTCAGGACTTCGCAATGGGCGCCTCTCGTCATAAACTCTGTCAAAACGGTGCACAATCCATCATATAAGGCCTACAAGAGTGTCAGCTCCATGTAGGGGTCAGTCAAGCATAGGTCAGGGTCAAGGTCAGGTCAACCGGGTAGGCACATATCCCCGAAAATCAAAACTGATATTCGCAGCCCGTGACACATGTTTTATGGGTAATTTGGGGCGTAGAACACGATGGTGACATTCATTTTATCATATGTGTACGTGTTTGGCTCAAAATGTTCAATCTAAGAAATGCATGTATCATGGTCGTCAAGTAGTCACGAGAAATTGCCAAGTTTCAGTTCAAGAATTTGGAAAATGCGGAACGATAATCAATAATCGAAGATAGCCATTTGATTGTTCATGGTATTGGCAGTCTAATGGCGTTTACGGCATGTCTGTATGTCTATTCTGTGATTTTATATGATTTTTTGAACATATGCCGTTTTTGGTCGAAAACTCAGAAATCATGACGTCACTAAAACCTCGATCTCAAAATTTTTCCGACCGATTTTTTTGAAACTTTGTCACAATAAACTTAAATCAATTCCCTACAGGTACCCAAAATTTGGCGCGCCTGCGGCGCGCCGTTTTTATGCTATGGCCCGGCGAAAAAAGTGGGGGCGTTTAACGCCCCCCCCCCCCCAGCAACTCGCGGGTTAAGTCATCCAGGTGTCCCACCAGTCATCAGCCACGCACAAAAAAAAAACTGATGAGAAACAACATCGGTCAGCGTAACGACAATTTTGCAATGCAAAGGTTATTTTTCACGTGGCAGTGGAAGCTTGTGGGCGACTTCTAAGCCTAAAAACCGCAGCCGCCGATCTTTCTGTTGATAAAACTGGCCTCTGAGGTCTGGTCCCTAGTGTATGACGTCAACCGTGAACGCAAGCAGTATGCACGGCAAAACAAAATGCCTGGATTTCACAACACCCCTAGTGCAAAAAAAAACATGTTAACGAAAATAAATTTTAGACAAACCTTGTATGCCAACGAATTTTTCAAAAAGGTCCCCCGAAGGTGAGCCACTCATGTAACTTTTCCTGAACAGCAGTAAAATAGAGAAATGATGCGTACAACACAACCTTAAGCAAATAATGTCTTATCACGACCCGATGCCGTATGTTGGCACTATGTAGTTTTGTGCGCACTTTTCATACCACCTTGAGAGAAAACCGAGCTCGACCTACCCGTCGGCCGGCCGGCTCCTGTCGACATACGTCAGCGGTCTGCGCTTCGCTGCCTCAGTCGCAGCGGCGTAACGTTATATTATCCTGGCATGGGGACATTCGATCGGCGCGGGGGAGGGGCAGGGTAGGGGCGGGGTCGACCACGTCATGGGGAGACGGTGTCACTGATGGCGAGCGCAGGCACCCGCCGGGCCGCTTCCCGTTCGCGCCCTCTCTTCTGTATCGTGCCACTGGGCTGATTGGCAGACGCCTACATCGTGGCACTGTGCTGATTGACATATACCTATCAGTGGGTGACTCCTCCTTCCATGACAACGTGAGATCGAGAGAGAGAGAGAGAAAAAAAACAGACCGCTTGCCAGCGCTTGTTGCGCAGGCCTCGAACCCTATAACCGTCCGATTACGCACTCCGGGTAACGGGAGAACTTTCAGATGCCCTAGTTCAGCGTGTCCATCAAAGCCGGACACGGCCTGTCCCACTGAACTGACAACTGGCTGCGGTTGCTTCGACCCACTACAGACCATCCCCATCAAAGTCCCATATAGGTATCAGGCGCTGGAGCGACTCGAACCTGAGCTCTCACCACCGGTAGTCCGACACTTCATCAACTATGCTACAGGAGCAGGGCAACTGATGTCTGATGATTTCCTCAACAGACCTGACTTAGGTACCTACCCCAAAAAGCACAAACACATTACTTTTTTAACAATCAGGTGTGGTACTTGGAAATCAGGAGCCCAAAATGGCATAGAAAACCTCATTAAGAGGTTACAGCAGGTCCCTAATTTCTAGCAGGCCATTATGACCTGACCTGCAAGGCTATAAAACTGCACCTAGGATGACTTTAAAAAAACACATAGGCAGCCTATAGGTACCACTGTGGTAGCCTACATAGCCTATATAAATAATATATATAATATGCCCCTAGGACAATGATTATTAACACCATGAGCTTCCTCCCATCACTATTCACAAGAACTGCACTTGCTTTTACCACAAGGATCTAGCTCAAAGGAAATAGTTAAACCTTAAAGGAAATAGTTCACTTTCACGAAATTATTTTTTTTTTTGCAACGGATTTATGATTTTTTATGTTCAAAATAATCAGCAAAGAAAATAAAACCTTTTTATAACAAAATATTATTTTCTATATTTTGATATAGGAAGAACTTTTCAGTTTCTGTAAGGCACACGCGATCCAGTATGAAAAGAGCATGGGTCCCGAAAATTCTTCAGAAACAGAGAAATTATCGCAGCCACCGGCATTTGGGCGATCTGCTCGATCTGATAATGTTCCCCTGAATGTCCTAATTGATCAGTACGAGAATTTCTCTAGAGTTCTCGTAGATAATTTCTCTAGTTTCTGAAGAATTTTCGGGACCCATGCTCTTTTCATACTGGATGGAAATATATTGATATGCAAGGCACACATCCTCAACGCAAGACACCTTTTTCGGGACGAAAAATAGAATATCTTTGCCTAGGGTGATCGTTGGGCTGTAAAAGCTCCTGATTTATGCTCGTCTCAGCCCAAGCTACGGAACTGCTATTCCAGTTCAAAACCCATGTTAAAAAGTGAACTATTTCCTTTAAGGGAGAAAAGTGAAAACTGATAAGCAATCTGACTGACCCCCTTCATATCCAAAGGTTGGGACTTTTCAATTAGACAATCACTATTCTTTAGAATTGTGATTTTCTATTGAAATCTCAACCTGAGCTACCTCTCTAGGGGGACTAGATTAATTATCTCTATTAGTATACCTGCACTTAAATTGCAGGCAGGCTTCCTAAAAATAAATACACAAATACTAAAAAGCATTTAGTGTTAATTGGTACTTACTTGTTGAATAGGTAGTTGTCCACTCTGATTTTGGAGAATGACTTGAAGTCATCTGGCATCAGCATGACTGGGATGTTGATGTGGGTGAGCTGATTGATCTGTGGGAAATCACCAGAATAAGTCAAACAGTGAAACAGGTACACATTGACCAGAAAAACACATGGAAAATATAGCCATTCATACTTAATGCAGGGGGATAGCATCTAATGGCAAAAAGTTTTCACAAAATCATTGCAGCAAAGCATAACATCTGAGCAGATTGCCAAAAGTATTATCATGCCATGCAAATGGTAGGGGAGTCCTATGATTGTTCAACATGCAAATAAAATAAAGATACTTACAGTGTGATTGACACCCCACATAAGAACTGATAGTAGGGGTTCATTTGCTCTGAATAGTTTCACTTTTTGGTGCTTAGGGCGCATATGCTTCTTTTTAAACTTTGACCCAAAATTTGAAACAGATGGAGATGACATTTTGAAATAGAAAAGGTAGCTCAAGAATAATAAAACAAAACGAGGCCACGTTATGGCAACTCGAATCTAGCAGGATTCCAAGAAATAGACTGTTTAAGCGCTTTCGGTCTCGGTCTTGGCCTTTCTTCAGCAGACGTCCTGCTTTGGCTCCCAATCAAAAACACTGCCACTCAGCACCTAATACAAACACGGACACACGGCCACCACCCCAACGCGCAGTCATGCCTGAATAATTAATTTGCAAAATGCTGATAAAACACAGTACACCATAATCGATCCAACCAAGGCGGCATCGCCCAGAGACGCGAGACGGGGCCGCCGCATTCTCTCTCGCGCAGTTCTCGCGCTTCCTTCGCTTCCTTCCTAAGTTTGGCAGTCAGTCTTAAAAAAGAGACATTTTCCTAGAGAATCTGTGACAAAATCTCTCAAAACTGTTGAGTTTTGACAATTTTAAAAATCAATAAAATAGCCAACGGTTGGAATTTCACTACAATGGCTCAATTCTCAAAGATCAGCTGTCAAAGATAACATTGGTGATGTTTCTAAAAAATTTTAAAGAGCTTCCTTGGGAATTATCTGGGATTATTTCTTCAGTTATCTTTCCGACTTTTCTGAAAGTCTCTACGGGTGTCTCAAAACGTTCTATGAAATAAATCTATCAAAGTCTTCAAAAAGTACGAGGCACTTAGCATAATTTTATCCCGGCACTTATCCCTTTATACGTTTAAAACAGTTTGAAGAAATCAATGGGATGCTCATGTCCTACATACACGAAAATGTATTAAGTTTGGTAATGTTATAATGTAAAGGCAACGCATTTATAATTTGGCTACCTTATCTGAAATATTTTGTCACTGCAGCGTATTTATTGTAGACAAAAGCTACTGCTCATGCAAATCAATGAAATGTTCATAGGCAGCGGCTTGGGCAGCGGTTGGGCAGCGGTAGCGGGTTCACTCAATATACCCTGGTAGCGGGTAGCTCGGTAATAAAACGGTAGCGGCTGGCGGGTCATCTTTTGATCTCTCTGGAGTGCAGTGAAATGGTTATTATATGTAGTCACCGTGATTATATGTTTCTGTGAAATACGCTGGGTATAAATGCGATATGTAAGTCCAAGTCCGAGATATACGCGGTTCTACGGCATGGAATCATGGAATGTTCGCCTAGCCCATTGTGTCCGTTTTACGAAGAAAAAAATGATTGACCTCTTAGGTCAAATCTCAATTCGTTCCCAAACATTACCGAGGATGTCAAATTGAATTGAACAATGTGCAACATATTTTCGCAATGACCATACTATGCTGAAAAAAATACCAGACAATAGACATTGATATATCCTCCGCTACGCTGGTTTATCAATGCCAGAAATATTCGTAATCTTCGGTAGGTATGTACTGCTCTGTAAATGTATAAAGGTCAAAGTGTACAGTGAGTATTCTGTAAAAGATAAGCGAATTTTACTTCTCACAGTGGAACTCAGTCGGGGGAGGTTTGGTCAATCGTTGTCATTTTTAGCACGTGCTATTTTTGTCACACGTGCTAAAAATGACAACGATTCTGCTATTTTTGACAACGATGAGGCCGATTTCACTCCTCAGCGAGGAAATGAAGATTTTGGAAAGATAAACACTGATTTTGGAAAAGAAGTGCTGCCACCTGGTGCAAGACGAAGAATCCAGCTTTAATATGCCTGTTATTTGTATGGTAGTTTGTTTTGTGGCCTGAAGTTGGAACTTAAAATTGAAGCATCCGAAAATGATCGATATTGATCGAAAACATGATGTTGATGAAAAAAATAATATTTTAAGTTGAGAGAGGAGGCCATTTTATCCAGATGCAGTAGTTTACTTCTTGAAATTATTTTTGCTAATGACGGCTGCTAATTATCCCTCATTACATGGCAGTCGTCGTAAGCAAAAATAATTTCAAGAAGTAAACCACCGCATCTGGATAAAATGGCCTCCTCTCTCAACTTAACATATTATTTGTTTCATCAACATCATGATTTCGATCAATATCGATCATTTTCGGATGCTTCAATTTAAAGTTCCAACTTCGGGCCACAAAAAAGGGTATACTTCAACGTTGGACTACCATACAAACAACGGCCATATTAAAGCTGGTTTCTTCTTCTTGCACCAGGTGGCAGCACTTCTTTTCCAAAATCAGTGCTTGTATTTCCAAAATCGTGATTTCCTCGCTGAGGAGTGAAATCGGCTTCATCGTTGCTAAAAATAGCTGATAGCGTTGTCATTTTTAGCACATGGTTGCCAAAAATGGCATGTGCTAAAAATGACAACCATTGACCAAACCTCCCCCAACTGAACTTGGAACAGGGACCAGCGGACATTTTAGGTACTGCAGTTTTAAAAACATTTTGTGCGAGTTAACTGCAACATGTTATCCTCATGCCTCAAGGCTCAAACACTGAAAAAGTCAACACTTTAACAGCCCTTGGCCAGCATATCAATCCGCACCATTTTGTATCTCCAATTGTCATCACAGTTCTCATTTGTTAAAAAAGTTGTCATATTTTAAACCTCAGTTAACCTAAAAATGGTTTCACCCTCTCCAGCAAGTCAAATATGTCAGTGAACTCTGGGGCAACATTTAAGATCCATACTTTATGAGTGGAACAGAAGTGGGTGTCAAACTGCCAAAAAACAACCATGCATGGTGCTTACCCACAAAACCCAATCATACATCTTTTGCCTGCATTAGACAACTGAAACTTTATGCCTCATCATGATGTAGATCAAGTTAAAACACAAAGATTTTAGATTTTCTACCAAGCTAACTTCTCATTAGAATACCAACCATGTAGTGAGATACATATTTATACTTCATCGCAACCAGCATAAGCTCTTGATACAAATTTCCCAATGCTCACCTCATTTGTGTTGTTCTTGTCTTTTTTCAACAAGTGATATTTTGCTCTCTGTAATGTGGCCTCATGGCAGCTTTGACTGAAAATGAGTGCCTATTTGAAGGATGTTTTATGTAATAACATAAAGGTATTCCTTCAGATCTGGACCTAATGCATCTACTTATTGAGAAATGAAGATTCAGCAATTGAGTAGGCTCATTTTGCCTGGGAAGCACTCGCTGAGATGGAGCCATGTGCAGCTGAGGATACATGGCCTCTGTCAGAAGAGAGGCTTGTCCACATCCTCTCTGGGAAAGCTTGGTGCAGCCTTTGACACCAAGCAGCAGCCCAAAGTCGATTTGGGGTGGTGGAAAGAAAATGAAGTGAGTATATCACTCTCCCTCTCCCTCTCCCTCTCCCTCCCCTCTCCCTCCCCCTCTCCCTCTTCCTCCCTCTCCCTCTCTCTCCCTCTCCCTCTCCCTCTCCTCTCCCCTCCCCTCTCCCTCTCCCTCTCCCTCTCCCTCTCCCTCTCCCTCTCCCCTCTCTCTCTCTCTCTCTCTCTCTCTCTCTCTCTCTCTCTTTCTGTGTTACTGTTGCTCCTACTCTCTCAATTAGGTACTCTAAAGACAATATGTATCTATCCTACAAATTGGTGAAGCAGCCCATGTCTGACTTTGATGTGCATACACTAAACTTTGGAAGGCATCTGAATTCTCATTACTGGGAACTGCCCCAGTTGGGAGGTAGGGGTCCAGGCCTACACACAAGAAAAAAAAACTTGCGAACATGATCTCTGGCTCTCTGATTCTGTCCATATACACGTTTAAGGAAAAAAACATTTTTTTGGTATATCCATCTACCTATGAAGCTAGGGTTCAGTTGGGACTTGGGCTGCACCTGGGATCAGTGGCTTATCTGAACTCAAAGCCATATACTGCAAAGGCAGCGAGAACGAGTGTGGTGCTGGCGCTGCTGCTGAGACAGATTATGTTATGCACGGTTAGCTGGTGCAGAGCTGTTTTCCGACCACGGTGGCCGCTGGCCGGTCCGGCAGGGCCTGTTCGGGTACCCGGAGCTGCGGACTGCCGACGGGTTCCTGGCGATGCGGGACGGCGCCGTCTCCGACTGCCGCCGGCTGGTGGACGAGGCGTGCAGCTCGCGCCGCCGCCGCAAGATGGTGCTGGTGTTCGACGACCTGTCGGACGCGCTCTGCAAGGTGGCCGACCTGGCCGAATTCGTGCGGCTGGCCCACCCGGACGCCTCCTACCAGGCCACCGCCACAGAGGCCTGCATCGCCGTCAGCAACCTGGTCGAACAGTGAGTCGCCCGCCCGCGTACCGCCGAAGCTCTGTGCAGCTTCTCTGCAGTTTTACATCATCAGTCTCTTTGACCTTTAATCGTGAACGTTTTGTAGGGGTGGATTTCCGAGTCCAGAAACTAATCTAGTTGGAGATTGTCGGGATTTACAGACTTTCACTGTTCCATCGGAAAATGGAAGGCGAGTGTTACGATTTAATTAAAAGCGGAAATTTAACATGTTTGGCATATCCGTAGCCGGACGCGAATTGTCATACCATCGCAAGTATCCCCTCCAGGCGCACCACCCCGCCCAACTGCACTGTTCCTACCCGTGCACCTTTCCCCCACTGTGTGCCTCAGAAGGGCTGCTGCTGCTGCCGCCCCTCTAACCTGCTGCCACCCCTCTGACCTGCTGCCACACCTCTGACCTGCCACCCCTCTGACCTGCTGCCACCCCTCTGACCTGCTGCCACCCTCTGACCTGCTGCCGCCCCTCTGACCTGCTGCCACCCCTCTGACCTGCTGCCACCCTCTGACCTGCTGCCGCCCCTCTGACCTGCTGCCACCCCTCTGACCTGCTGCCACTGCTGCTGCCGCCCCTCTGACCTAACCTGACCTCGCCTCCGCCTAGGATGAACACGCACCGTCCGCTGTACGACGCCCTGGAGCGGGCCGTGACGCACGGGGACCACGTGCACACGGACCGCGTGGACCAGCACGTGGCGCGCCTCTACCTGCACGACTTTGAGCAGTCGGGCATCCACCTGGACGGCGCCAGCCGAGAGCGGGTGGTGCAGCTCACCGACCACGCGCTGCAGGTGAGCGCCTCAGCGGGAGAGGGTACCTGCCAGCCGAGAGCGGGTGGTGCAGCTCACCGACCACGCGCTGCAGGTGAGCGCCTCAGCGGGAGAGGGTACCTGCCAGCCGGGAGCGGGTGGTGCAGCTCACCGACCACGCGCTGCAGGTGAGCGCCCCAGCGGACGGGGTCTGGTTTAATGTTGAGTTACGACTGCTTTGTTCGCCCCCGACCTGACCCGAGTGATCCGCTTCCGCCAGGTAGGCCAGGCGTTCCTGGCGGGCACACATGAGCCGGCCACCGTGAAGAAAAAGGACCTTCCCGAGGACCTGTCTTACCAGTAAGGGCATACTTCAGCTTCTGCGTCTGAGGTCTAGCTGGGAAAATGCTATATCAACATTTTTATCATTTCCTCTCTCGGTATCTGCTCAGACGAACCACTCTTTCCGTGCATTTAGCTTGTTGAGTCAAGTTTACCGTGGCCTGCCCAACCACCCCACCCCCTGCTAGCTCATCCCCCGTACATAGTTTCGCGATGGACTGTGACTGACTCTCTGCCCCCTCCCCTCCGTTAGGTTCGCGGAGACTCTGTGACTCTGTGTCCTCCCCAGGTTCGCGGTGGACGGCGACTCTGTGACGGTGGGCGGGCTAATGGCCGACTCGCCGCTGGACCAGACGCGCGAGGCCGCCTACCGCGTGTACCTGCACCCGGACCCGGGTCAGGAGGCGCTGCTAGCGGCGCTGCTGCACACCCGGCGCGCCCTGGCGCACCTCTGCGGCTTCCCCAGCTTCGCGCACAGGTCAGCGGGCCACTCAGCGGTACAGGTCAGCGGACACTGCGGCACAGGTCAGCGGGCACTGCGGCACAGGTCAGCGGGCCACTCAGCGGGACAGGTCAGCGGACACTGCGGCACAGGTCAGCGGACACTGCGGCACAGGTCAGCGGACACTGCGGCACAGGCCAGCGGACACTGCGGCACAGGTCAGCGGACACTGCGGCACAGGTCAGCGGACACTGCGGCACAGGTCAGCGGGCCACTCAGCGGGACAGGTCAGCGGGCACTGTGGCACAGGTCAGCGGGCACTCAGCGGCACAGGTCAGCGGACACTGTGGCACAGGTCAGCGGGCACTGCGGCACAGGTCAGGCGGGCCACTCAGCGGCACAGGTCAGCGGGCACTGCGACACAGGTCAGCGGACCACTCACTCATCAGGTCTGAGCGGCTGAGTGCGCTGACAGGCTAGGCTGTCCCGCGGGAAAGGTCGGCACTCGTGTTCGTATTGCTCAGCAGCTGTAGATCGCTTCAGGTGCACCGTCAGATGGCGTGGGATGCTAGGGATCAAATTAATGGTGCAGGTGCGGTTTGTACTGATCATAGGGACGTTTATCGCCCGCTGATCGCTCGGTGATCACACCCCGGTCCCTGCACAGTTCACACCCCGTCCTGACTAGGTCCCCGGGCCCCCGCCCTGACCCTCACCCTCCCTCCTGTCGCTCCTGTCAGAGCGCTGCGCGGTAGCCTGACTAGGTCCCCGGGCCCACCCCCTGACCCTCACCTTCCCTGCTGTCGCTCCTGTCACAGGGCGCTGCGCGGCAGCCTGGCGCGCACACCGGAGACGGTGGACGCCTTCCTCTGCCGACTGAGGGACGAACTGGCACCTGAGGCCGCCAAAGAGTTTGACACCATGGCCACCATGAAACGGGCCACCAGCTCCCGGGTAAGAGGGAAGACAGACGGACAGACTAGACGGAGGAACGGAGGGGTATGTATATGGACAGACGGGGGGGGGGGGAGACACTGACAGATACAGAGACAGACAGAGGGATGGGGAGACACAGGCAGACAGGCGTAGGATAAAGGAGGGCTCTAAAGGGGGAGAGCAGATCTGATACTGACTCACAATATTGATATTTTATATAAGTTGTTGCAATTTTATTTGCAACCAGAAGCAAATTGGATAATCTGCTCAGCGATAGACGAATGAAGGTACCTATTGAAGAGTTACGACTATGTAATGATATCCCCCTCTCCACAAGCCTCCGGGTGGTGTACGTGACTCACTGTCCTCCATTCCCACAGTCGCTGGGTGGTGTACCTGACCCCCCCCCCCCCCCCCCCCCACCCTCCCCGTCTCTGACAGCCTCTGGGCGCGTGGGACGTGCCGTACCTGGCGCACCTGGCGCGCCGGCAGCGGCAGCGCGAGGAGGACCTGCGCCTCTCCGAGTATTTCTCGGTGGGCACGTGTATGCGCGGCCTGAGCGCGCTGTTCGGTCGGCTGTACGGCGTGCGCCTGGAGGCGGAGGAGGCCCGGCCCGGCGAGCTGTGGGCGCCCGATGTGCAGAAACTGGCCGGTGGGTGCCCCGGGTACAGCAGAGGATGACTGGTCAGGGTGCGGGCGGCCGGTAGTGAGGGAGTTCTGGGACTTTTTGTGCCGCAATTACAATGGGTCAGTTCATCTGGTTTCAGCTGTGAAATTTAGGATTTGTTACGGAGCGAGCGAAGCGAGCGGAGTCTTACGTAGAATAACGGAAATTTCTGAGTATGAGCGGCCGGCCGGCCGGCCGGCCGGCCGGCCGGCCGGCCGTGCGGACGCTTTTGCGAGGCTTATATCTCAGCAACCACTTGACCGATTTACACGCGGTAATTTTTATAGGGTAGCTTCATTCCTTCTACCAAGTATTGGACTATTCCCGATGCATGTGGGTGACCCCTTATGCACGTGCCACGTGCAAAACGAAGAGGTGTCAGTTTTGCAATTGTTGCAATATTTCGGTAACTACTTGGCCGATTGCGCTGAAAGTTGGCATGTAGGTAGGCACCCACTAGGCACTGCATATCCATGTGCCAGAGTTGGGGTGCTGCTGCACGTGCGCACGTGCAGGGGTCGTTTCCAGATCTCGAGAACGGCTGGACCGATTGCGCTCAAATTTGGTACACAGTTAGGGACCGGTTAGTAGGGTGCCGTGCAAAAGCCAGTCGGGACCCATTTTGCACGTGCGCACGTGCAGGGTGCCGCTCCCAGATCTCGAGAACGGCTGGGCCGATTGTGCTCAAATTTGGCACATCGCTAGAAACCGGTCAGTAGGGTGCCGTGCACAAGTCAGTTGGAGGTACCCCCTCGAAATTTCGCACGTGCAAGGCTCACCCTCTCGCTCGCTCCGTTAGTCGCCCCAAAAGGCGCTATACTGGTGTTACTGGGTTTTTAGATTCCTTATTACGGAGCGAGCGAAGCGAGCGTAGTCTTTCCTTAGATTAACGGAAATTTCTGAGTATGAGCGGCCGGCCGGCCGTGGTCACGCTTTTGCGAGGCTTATATCTCAGCAACCACTTGACCGATTTACACGCGGTAATTTTTGTAGGGTAGCTTCATTCCTTCTACCAAGTATTGGACTATTCCCGATGCATGTGGGTGACCCCTTATGCACGTGCCACGTGCAAAACGAAGAGGTGTCACTTTTGCAATTGTTGCAATATCTCGGTAACTACTTGGCCGATTGCGCTGAAAGTTGGCATGTAGGTAGGCACCCACTAGGCACTGCATATACATGTGCCAGAGTTGGGGTGCTGCTGCACGTGCGCACGTGCAGGGGTCGTTTCCAGATCTCGGGAACGGCTGGACCGATTGCGCTCAAATTTGGTACACGGTTAGGGACCGGTTAGTAGGGTGCCGTGCACAAGTCAGTTGGGACCCATTTTGCACGTGCGCACGTGCAGGGTGCCGCTTCCAGATCTCGAGAACGGCTGGGCCGATTGTGCCCAAATTTGGCACATCGCTAGAGACCAGTTAGTAGGGTGCCGTGCACAAGTCAGTTGGAGGTACCCCCTCGCAATTTCGCACGTGCAAGGCCCACCCTCTCGCTCGCTCCGTTAGTCGCCCCAAAAGGCGTTATACTGGTTATCATGAGTCAAAAGATGCTAGCTGGTTGGTCATAATTAGAGAACTCTTGGTTGGCTGTGGATAATCGTTATTTTTGACGCCCTACAAGATGTCCGTAACTCCAGCACACGGTATCGCAGGCTGTAGGCTGTATTCCGAAATCTGGTGCTGTTCTCAGTCTCTATACCTCAGACTCTCGTCACTCTGATGAATGTGCATTAGGGTGACCGGTTTTGCAAAAAGTTTCGAAAAGTTTTGCTCCCCAGGTCTAATCTAACGTATTTGGGGGTGCTGATCACGAATCCGGCGGAAAAAATATAAAATTCGAATTTTTTTTGACCGCCCCGGCTCTTTGAATATTTCCGGTTTTCTCAATTTTTGCATGTTTTTGAATAATATGATGAATGTAATGAAAATTTATTAACAATGTATCGCTAAATGCATGTACCAGTCGATTCGGCATACAGCGGCGTCGAAATCGGCACGCCGCCTGCTTCACCGGCCTCGCAGGAAAGCATAAGGCTCGGAAGGTTTGCGTTAGTTACCCGATTCTCTCCATAGATGGCGCTGGCGTAGCCGCCCGCCGGCCGGTCGTTGCCGTGCCGTTCACAGCCCCGGCGGTCACTTGCGACCGTCGTGGTCGTTATGCTACGTCTATCAAAGCACGACAGAAATGTTCACTTCATTTTTATGTTACTTCAGACATATTTTAGACCTAATGTTGAATTGGATAAATGACTATCGTGAATTGGCGAAATAGTGGAGTGCGCTCGGGAGCCATTTACAATAGCGAGGAACGTAGGTGGATTGATCTGAGTAACATATGACACTGCGTTCACTGTTGATATGAAGTTTATTCACACTATGTAGTCGGGTGACATGAGAACAAAGTGACTAACATACCTTGTGTACGACAGGCGAGACATGGATGAAGCTAAAGCTACTTTTTCATTTTGTTTCGGTAGGCCCGTTTGTTCAGAGCGTAGCCGTCCTGTCGGTCTGCGCCTGTTACAGCTGTGACTGATTCGGTGGTCAGCTTTACAGCCCTTTCGGTGGATTGGGTATGGCAGGGGACCCCCTTTTAAGGGGAGTCTGTAGAAAGTCGCGCAACTCATCCTCGCTCATGTGTCGTACACAAGGGGGCTCAATGTCTCGGCCCTCGTCAACCGCTCGCTGCACGTTAACCAGTTCCATATAGTTGTTCGCTTGAACGTTAATTTCCGGCAGCCGGAAGTGCCGAATGGGCTGCTGCTGTGGCGGTGGGGGTGGCAGCTTTGGCGGCGGTCGTGGCGGCGGTGCCGGCGGCGGCGGTGGTGGTGGTGGTGGTGGTGGTGGTGGTGGTGGTGGTGATGGTGGTGGTGGTGGTGGTGGTGGTGGTGGTGGTGGTGGTGGTGGTGATGGCGGCGGCGGCGGTGGCGGTGGTGGTGGTGGCGATGGCCGCCGCCTCTGTCGCCGCTGCTCCTGCTGTGGCGGGGGCGGGAACGGCGGCTGCTCCTGTCGCTGCCTTTTTTGACGAATGCTCTGGATTATGCGGACTGCATCTGCCCTAATGCCATGCCCCCGCCACAGCAGAAGCAGCGGCGACAGAGGCGGCGGCCACCGCCACCACCACCACCGCCACCGCCGCCACCGCCACAACAGCAGCAGCGGCGTCTGAAACGGCGGCGGCCATCACCACCACCACCACCACCACCACCACCATCACCACCACCACCACCACCACCACCACCACCACCACCACCACCGCCGCCGCCGGCACCGCCGCCACGACCGCCGCCAAAGCTGCCACCCCCACCGCCACAGCAGCAGCCCATTCGGCACTTCCGGCTGCCGGAAATTAACGTTCAAGCGAACAACTATATGGAACTGGTTAACGTGCAGCGAGCGGTTGACGAGGGCCGAGACATTGAGCCCCCTTGTGTACGACACATGAGCGAGGATGAGTTGCGCGACTTTCTACAGACTCCCCTTAAAAGGGGGTCCCCTGCCATACCCAATCCACCGAAAGGGCTGTAAAGCTGACCACCGAATCAGTCACAGCTGTAACAGGCGCAGACCGACAGGACGGCTACGCTCTGAACAAACGGGCCTACCGAAACAAAATGAAAAAGTAGCATTAGCTTCATCCATGTCTCGCCTGTCGTACACAAGGTATGTTAGTCACTTTGTTCTTATGTCACCCGACTACATAGTGTGAATAAACTTCATATCAACCGTGAACGCAGTGTCATATGTTACTCAGATCAATCTACCTACTTGTTTGTTTGTTTTGTTGGGTTAGGCCCTTTCGGTCGACAAGACCATTGCAGAGCCGGAAGGATGATAGGAATTAGGGGGAGACATTGGTCTGGGCAGGCACCCTAGTGAGTCGCCGGGGCTGAGCCCGTCCAGAGGACAGGTCACCCAGCCCCAAGGCACTCACTGCACCCGGCTACGGGGTGCGCTCTCTCGGGAGCAGCGGTGCCGCTCCAAGGGAGCAGCCCGCATGAGATAAAGTTGCCTGTCCAGCCCGGAAGGGGGTTGTGGTGTGGAGGAGAAGGATTTCAGTATCCTGAGGATAGAAGCACGGATTGGTGTGAAATCTACCTACGTTCCTCGCTATTGTAAATGGCTCCCGAGCGCACTCCACTATTTCGCCAATTCACGATAGTCATTTATCCAATTCAACATTAGGTCTAAAATGTGTCTGAAGTAACATAAAAATGAAGTGAACATTTCTGTCGTGCTTTGATAGACGTAGCATAACGACCACGACGGTCGCAAGTGACTGCCGGGGCTGTGAACGGCACGGCAACGACCGGCCGGCGGGCGGCTACGCCAGCGCCATCTATGGAGAGAATCGGGTAACTAACGCAAACCTTCCGAGCCTTATGCTTTCCTGCGAGGCCGGTGAAGCAGGCGGCGTGCCGATTTCGACGCCGCTGTATGCCGAATCGACTGGTACATGCATTTAGCGATACATTGTTAATAAATTTTCATTACATTCATCATATTATTCAAAAACATGCAGAAATTGAGAAAACAGGAAATATTCAAAGAGCCGGGGCGGTCAAAAAAAATTCGAATTTTATATTTTTTCCGCCGGATTCGTGATCAGCACCCCCAAATACGTTAGATTAGACCTGGGGAGCAAAACTTTTCGAAACTTTTTGCAAAACCGGTCACCCTAATGTGCATTGTGCGTGTTTCTGACTCAGCCACCAAAGTCCCCAGCTCTCTCCACCCCTCCAGCCCGATGACCGACCTTCCCGTCCCCTTCCCCTGGCGTTGGCAGTTGTGCACGAGTCGGAGGGCCTGCTGGGCTACATCTACTGCGACTTTTACACGCGGCCGGGCAAACCGAGCCAGGACTGTCACTTCACCATCCGCGGCGGCCGCGACCTGCCCGACGGCACCTATCAGGTGAGAGCGGGGATAGATATATGTACAGATACTGCCCAACGGGGCGCACCAGGTAAGCGGTGGGTATAGGCCACTGCCTAACCGTATCAGGTTAGCGGCGATGATAGGTGAACTGACACTGACTGACGGGACGTACCAGGTGGTGTGGGAGGACGGAATGGTTGCGGTCCCTGGACAGAATGGATTATTTAAAAAAAAAGTGTCTCCCTTTCTCTCTCAGAGTCCGGTGGTGGTACTGATTCAGTCGTGGTGATGTCCCGTTCCCCCAGAGCCCGGTGGTGGTACTGAATATGTACCGTTCCCCGCTCCCCCAGAGTCCAGTGGTACTGTACTGATGTACCGTTCCCCGCTCCCCCACAGCCCGGTGGTGGGGCACTGATGTACCGTTCCCCGCTCCCCCACAGCCCGGTGGTGGGGCACTGATGTACCGTTCCCGCTCCCCCAGAGCCCGGTGGTGGTGCTGATGCTGGGCCTCCAGCCGCCCGGCTGGTCGCGGCCCTGCCTGCTCACTCACGCCCAGCTGGAAAACCTGTTCCACGAGACCGGCCACGCCATGCACTCTATGCTGGCGCGCACGCGCTACCAGCACGTGACGGGCACGCGGTGCAGCACAGACTTCGCCGAGGTGCCCTCCGTGCTGATGGAGTACTTTGCCGGCGACGAGCGCGTGCTGGCGTCGTTCGCGCGCCACTACCGGACCGGCGAGCCGCCGCCGCCGGAGGCGCTGCGCCGGCTCTGCCGCGGCCGCGCCGCCTTCCCCGCCGCCGACGCCCAGCTGCAGGTCAGAGAGAGCGGGGATGGAGAGAGAGTGGGGGAAGAGTAGTGGGAACGGGAGGTGAGGGAGAGGCGAGAGATGGGAGGGGGGAGGGAGGGACGGACTGGGGCTTTCGAAGCTACTCGTATAATTTAACATCAGCTTTTAAGTCAAAGTCTAACGCTTAACGCAGAACTCTCCCGCCCCTCTGCCACCACCCCTGCTGCGCGCCCGCTGACCGCCCGCCCTCTGTCCGGTGTTGGCAGCTGTTTTACGCGGCGCTGGACCAGCGGTACCACGGCATCGAGCCGCTGCTGGCGCCCACCACCGACGTACTGGCGGAGGTGCAGCACGCCTTCTACGGGCTGCCGCACGTGGCCGGCACTGCCTGGCAGCTGCGCTTCGGCCACCTGGTCGGCTACGGCGGCCGCTACTACTCGTACCTGATGGCGCGCGCCGTGGCCTCGGCTATCTGGCGGGAGCTGTTCAGAGCCGACCCGTTCGACCGGTGAGACCCGGGGGGGGGGGGGGGATCACCCTGGGCCGTCTGGAGGGAGCTGTTCAGAGCCGACCCGTTCGACCGGTGAGACGGGACGGGGGGAGGGGCGGAAGGGATCATCCTGGGCTGTCTGGCGGGAGCTGTTCAGAGCCGACCCGTTCGACCGGTGAGACCGGGCGGGGGACGGGGGGGGGGGATCAGCCGTGAGACTGACGGGGCGGGCCGACCGGTGGGACGGAGCGGGGCGGGCTGACCCGTGAGGACCCCTAGTGTGTTGAGTGTGCCTTTTTGTCCGCTGTCTCCTGGTGAGGGAGGCTTCAGAAGGGTGAAGGAAGGACAGGGGCTGGTCAGTGCACTGTGTACCTCTGACCCCTCTGAACCTCCCCGCATGTCTGCCGGGGAGCGGTACCGCCGCGAGTGTCTGGCCCACGGCGGCGGGTCAGTAGAGTATCTGCCCCTCTGACCTCCCCCCGTCCCCTCCTGCAGGTCGGCCGGGGAGCGGTACCGCCGCGAGTGTCTGGCGCACGGCGGCGGTGTGCCCGCTCACCAGATCGTCTCGGGCCTGCTGCGGAGGGACGTGTCGCCGGCCGAGCTGGCCTCGTCCATCGTCACGGACGTCATCGGCCAGCGGGCCGCCGGCTGACGGGCTGCCACCCGAGGTCTGACGGCGGCAGCCGCCGCTGAGGTGCCGTCACTCCTGCTGGCCGACCGGGAGGTGGGTTAGCAGTACGATGGTCGAAGGCGCTGAACACGACCTGAGGGGCGTGAAGGAAGGCGCTGTCGGTCAGGATAGATGGCTGTGACGTCACAGGGCGGGGCGGCGTGGAACTGCGCGTCGTCTAATGGTGATAATATGACGTCATAGTGACGCCATGATGCGGCAGTACAGAATCGCCCCGTCTCGCCATCGTAAGAGCTCTTACTGCTCAATGTTTGTTGTGTAGTATATCGTGTCACCTTCACCCAATCATACACCTCGATATCATGAAGGGCCGCGACGTGTTACTAGACGGTTAACAAAATGCTCAGGTATTAGACAAAATATGTATGCTACTGATAAACCAGTCTTCCTAAAGCTTCTGTAATAACATAGGGCATTCGACAGGTTTGTTTTTATCTCTGTAATCTTATTTTGTAACCCGGCCATTTTTTGGTGATTTGTTCCGTATTCATCGTTTTGGAAGTCACATATTTGTTGAGAGGGGTCTTGAGTTGAGATTTCTTGAGAGGTCAATTTTGTTTTATCGTACCCCTGACGCCATACCTCCACCACGGAGTGACACAAGTCCTACCTCTGTGAGCGCGGCATTATCTGACTGCCCCCGCCCCTCATTAGCGCTGCTCTCATTAATGGCCTGCTGGACGCCATGACACTGCTTACCGCGCCGGCGCAGCGTGTGCCAACGCAGTCATACATCGAGGTGCGACATTCAGAATCGGTGCAATATGGGCCGGTATATAGTCACTCGTGCCAACCACCGCGGGACTAGCTTTGCCAGGTGATAGGTCGATCCTGTCGCTCCATTTTGTGAGCTTCGTAACTGATAAATGTCATCAGTGTTTTACAAGACAATAAATGACGCGTCCGTCTGCAGTTTTACCGTTGTGACCGTAACAACGCTGCGTTGTTACGTCCTGATAAGCTGGCTTTTTTGGCGTTTGTATGAATCGTCTCAAAATGGCACACAGTGATTAATAAACCAACGACATTATCTGCGGCATTAACCTACTAATCGGTCAAAGCCATACTCTGCTCAGAGAATGGTATATCATGTGTTGATCTTTTCTAAATTGCAAACCGTGTTTACCACTAAGTAAAGAATCGACGACTCTAAGGGTTTTCATTCAGGAGTAGCTTGCACCTTGCTTTTCTCTCGCCCTCGGTGAAGTTTCAGCATCTACATTCTACACTACGTTCGGGGCCAGCCTTCACTCAGCAGCGTCCTCACAGCGCTCACAGTTTTACAGTGTGGTACCGTGCTGGCTCGAAGGCCCGGCTCGGTGCGGACTGCGGCGCGGCTCTGACAGTCGCTGTTATAGAGGGTTGTGACATTTGACGTCTGATGACGCGATACGTGTGCCAGCAATGGCCGGTGGAATCAGGCGCCCTCAATATCGGCCCGCGCCCCCGGCCCTGACCTTTGCGACCCGGACCTGACCGTCAGCCTCTCGGCGCAGCCGCTGTAGGTGCCTAGTGCGTTTGTAGCAATGACATTTACACTACACTGCGCGATTATGCTCAGAGGTGGGATTTGTGAACATTAATTTTCGAAGTGGGGGTACCCGGGCGCAGCCAATCCCCCCGCTGTCCTAGCGGTGACTTTGACCTCCGCCGTCTATTGCGGCTCCAAAGGCAAGCCGTGGGACTGGAGAGCTCGGGCACCCCCAGCTCGGCGCAAACCTCCACCTACGAGTATGAATAATTTAATAACAATTTGGCTGATTAATTCAAATTTTGTCGGTGAAGAGATAATTTTGTTGGTGTATGTACATATTCCATACAATTACACACACTAGCGAAGTGGTACAAGTTCGCCTGCGCACATATTTTTGATCTTTAAGACGATGAATTGATTGTATGTAAATACGATTTGATATCAGAAGGTGGTGAATTTGTGAAGGTTGTGCTTCGATCGTGTCTGGTCTGTCCACTGAATGTCTATATCGCAGTATGTTGGGGACAGATCAGTGGTCTGTGCTCCGTCCGTTTCCGACTGTCCACTGTATGTCTAGGGGTGTATGTTGGGGACAGATCAGTGGTCTGTGCTGTTGTGGCGAGTTCGTACCTCCTTTTATTAGAGGTCTTTGTTCTTATTTTATCACGCCTTATTTGATTCATGTTTATTTTCTTGTCATTGTTGCTGCGCGCGTGAAAAAAATTATTTCTTTTTAGCTCAGAAAACCGAGTCAACGTCGACGTTTGAAATTGTTTTTAGTTCAGTGTGCGGCCTACTTTCAAACTGCCATGTTCTTTATTTTCATCTCTCAATATAATTATATCATTTTCATCTTTTTGTCTCGGCCGCCACATTGATGACCCCGACGTGATTTAATTTTAACTTTTAAACAGTAAATTATTGCTCTTCATGATTGTATATATACCTGCACATTCAAAGAAGACTTTAAAAGAAGAACGAAGAAGAAACATATCAAGTAATCGAAAACGAAAACGAGATGTATCTACTACGTTACTCACACAAGAAAGACAACCGACCAGACGATCACCTGAATAATCGCCGGTGGTTTCGGGCCGCGCCGCCTCCCTCCGCACCGGCTGATCCCAGCGCACCAACTTCAACTTCTCCTTTCCGAGCGGCTCGCCGACTTGTGGCCGTAACCAAGGTGGATCCAGGCCGCGCTGAGCCTCGCCGCCTGCTCCACCGCGGTGCTTCTTTATCTTACCTACCTACATACCCAAGCGTTCGTCAACGACATGCACCCATACGTCGCCGCGAACGCAGAACGCAAGTCAGCGAGTCGCAAGCCGCCGTCGTCGGAGTTTCCGGGATGCTCCGTTTCATCGCCGCTCCCGTCCGACGCGGTACGCGCTGGGTCGCCACCAAGAGCCGGTCTACGCCTATTCTGTCTGAGAACTTGTGATCGATATTTTTTTTAGCAAGATATATATTTACTATGCCTCTTTTTAGCTCCGCTCTGGGGCGGGGAGTGTTGTGGCGAGTTCGTACCTCCTTTTATTAGAGGTCTTTGTTCTTATTTTATCACGCCTTATTTGATTCATGTTTATTTTCTTGTCATTGTTGCTGCGCGCGTGAAAAAACAATATTTCTTTTTAGCTCAGAAAACCGAGTCAACGTCGACGTTTGAAATTGTTTTTAGTTCAGTGTGCGGCCTACTTTCAAACTGTCATGTTCTTTATTTTCGTCTATCAATATAATATTATCATATTTTATCGATTCGTCTCGGCCGCCACACTCCGTCCGTTTCCGACTGTCCACTGATGTCTATATCGCAGTATGTTGGGGACAGATCAGTGGTCTGTGCTCCGTCCGTTTCCGACTGTCCACTGTATGTCTATGGGTGTATGTTGGGGACAGATCACTCGTCTGTGCTCCGTCCGTTTCCGACTGTCGACTGTATGTCTATGGGTGTATGTTGGGGACAGATCAGTGGTCTGTGCTCCGTCCGTTTCTGACTGTCCACTGTATGTCTATCGGTGTATGTTGGGGACAGATCAGTGGTCTGCGCTCCGTCCGTTTCCGACTGTCCACTGTATGTCTATGGGTGTATGTTGGGGACAGATCAGTGGTCTGTGCTCCGTCCGTTTCTGACTGTCCACTGTATGTCTATGGGTGTATGTTGGGGACAGATCAGTGGTCTGTGCTCCGTCCGTTTCCGACTGTCCACTGTATGTCTATGGGTGTATGTTGGGGACAGATCAGTGGTCTGTACTCCGTCCGTTTCCGACTGTCCACTGTATGTCTATGGGTGTATGTTGGGGACAGATCACTCGTCTGTGCTCCGTCCGTTTCTGACTGTCCACTGTATGTCTATGGGTGTATGTTGGGGACAGATCAGTGGTCTGTGCTCCGTCCGTTTCCGACTGTCCACTGTATGTCTGTGGGTGTATGTTGGGGACAGATCAGTGGTCTGTGCTCCGTCCGTTTCCGACTGTCCACTGTATGTCTATGGGTGTATGTTGGGGACAGATCAGTGGTCTGTGCTCTGTCCGTTTCCGACTGTCCACTGTATGTCTGTGGGTGTATGTTGGGGACAGATCAGTGGTCTGTGCTCCGTCCGTTTCCGACTGTCCACTGTATGTCTGTGGGTGTATGTTGGGGACAGATCAGTGGTCTGTGCTCCGTCCGTTTCTGACTGTCCACTGTATGTCTATCGGTGTATGTTGGGGAGAGATCAGTGGTCTGTGCTCCGTCCGTTTCCGACTGTCCACTGTATGTCTGTGGGTGTATGTTGGGGACAGATCAGTGGTCTGTGCTCCGTCCGTTTCCGACTGTCCACTGTATGTCTATGGGTGTATGTTGGGGACAGATCAGTGGTCTGTGCTCTGTCCGTTTCCGACTGTCCACTGTATGTCTGTGGGTGTATGTTGGGGACAGATCAGTGGTCTGTGCTCCGTCCGTTTCCGACTGTCCACTGTATGTCTATGGGTGTATGTTGGGGACAGATCAGTGGTCTGTGCTCCGTCCGTTTCCGACTGTCCACTGTATGTCTATGGGTGTATGTTGGGGACAGATCAGTGGTCTGTGCTCTGTCATCAGTTGTCTGTGCTCCGTCCGTTTCCGACTGTCCACTGTATGTCTGTGGGTGTATGTTGGGGACAGATCAGTGGTCTGTGCTCCGTCCGTTTCTGACTGTCCACTGTATGTCTATCGGTGTATGTTGGGGACAGATCAGTGGTCTGTGCTCCGTCCGTTTCCTACTGTCCACTGTATGTCTATGGGTGTATGTTGGGGACAGATCAGTGGTCTGTGCTCCGTCCGTTTCCGACTGTCCACTGTATGTCTATGGGTGTATGTTGGGGACAGATCAGTGGTCTGTGCTCCGTCCGTTTCTGACTGTCCACTGATGTCTATGGGTGTATGTTGGGGACAGATCAGTGGTCTGTGCTCTGTCCGTTTCTGACTGTCCACTGTATGTCTATGGGTGTATGTTGGGGACAGATCAGTGGTCTGTGCTCCGTCCGTTTCCGACTGTCCACTGTATGTCTATGGGTGTATGTTGGGGACAGATCAGTGGTCTGTGCTCCGTCCGTTTCCGACTGTCCACTGTATGTCTATGGGTGTTTGTTGGGGACAGATCAGTGGTCTGTGCTCCGTCCGTTTCTGACTGTCCACTGATGTCTATGGGTGTATGTTGGGGACAGATCAGTGGTCTGTGCTCTGTCCGTTTCCGACTGTCCACTGTATGTCTATGGGTGTATGTTGGGGACAGATCAGTGGTCTGCGCTCCGTCCGTTTCCGACTGTCCACTGTATGTCTATGGGTATATGTTGGGGACAGCTGGTCAAGGGTGACCCGTGGAGCGGTTAAGAGTGTTTTTTCCAAGCAGAGGTTGCAAAACGCGGCACAGTGACTAAAGACGGATGCCGACCAGCGTGGCCCAGCGGCGCGTCTTTGGCATACTCTTACCTACCGATCCCTCTCCGGCGGTCGACCTGTAAAGGACTATCTGCCCTACGTATAGAACCAGCCTTTGTCCAGGCCAGTGCCAGCAGACTGATCTAAGTATTTATCGATGCGAGGGAACATTTATTGGACAGACGATATGAGCGAACATACGGTTAAACACCGGATTAACATGGATTTAAGTGCTTGTCCAAACATTGGACAAACACTTAACAGCGTTTGCCGTTGAGATTTTGATCGGCAATGCTACGTCCATTGCGCAGAGCGCTGTTTTTATAAAAACAACTTCAATAAAACACATGTGGCAGACACTAATCATGTACTTAAAGATGAAATAGACACGAGAACCACTAAGAGGACAGCAGAAGGGGTACTACCAAGGCTATGTAAACCGGTACTGCATTCAGTCACACAGCAGCTGTGGTCTGCTGAATGATAGTGATGGTGTGTGCCGTGTGCCCGAGGGCGGCGCCGGGACCCAGAGGCGACGTCACGGCAGGGGTTGTTTGTGGGGACTTCACGGCTTGGGTTGTTTGTCGGGACGTCACGGCTTGGGTTGTTTGTCGGGACGTCACGGCTTGGGTTGTTCGTCGGGACGTCACGGCTTGGGTTGTTTGTCGGGACGTCACGGCTGGGGTTGTTTGTCGGGACTTCACGGCTTGGGTTGTTTGTCGGCGGACGTGAGCTGTTTGATCAGTAGTTCGGTGGAGACCAGGATGCTCTGCGCCCGGCACGTCTTCCTGCACTCGCCCACGGTCCGGAAGTTGTTTGCGTTCCCGCCGCAGCCGCCGTAGGTGAATTTGGCGCAGCGTTTGCCGTTGAAGTAGTAGCGCGGGAAGGCCGCCAAGCACGGCCCGACCACCTTGGGCAGCCGGCAGAGTTTGGGTCGGCCGGCGCCGCAGCGCTGTCGGCACTCGGACAGCGTGCCGAAGTTGTTCCCGTTGGGGTCGCAGCCTCCCCAGTAGAACTTGAGGCACCTGTTCGCTTTGGCGGAGAAATAGTACCGGGGCATCCTGGCTTTACAGGGTCCCACCTTTTTAGGCCGAAGGCAGGGGTTGCATTGCTTGTTGCAGTCAGCGAGGGTCATGAAGTTGTTTCCGTTGGGGTCGCAGCCGCCCCAGCTAAATTCCATGCATTTTCCGTCCTTAGCTGAATAATAGAAGCGTGGGATCGCGGCCCTGCAGGGTCCTACTTTCAGCGGCTGCTCGCATGGTTTACCACAGCCGCTAGCACAACACTGCTTCTGGCAGTCCTTCAGGGACTCGAAGTTGTTTCCGTTGGGGTCGCAGCCTCCCCAGTAGAACTTGAGGCACCTGTTCTCTTTGGTGGAGAAATAGTACCGGGGCATCCTGGCTTTACAGGGTCCCACCTTTTTAGGCCGAAGGCAGGGGTTGCATTGCTTGTTGCAGTCAGCGAGGGTCATGAAGTTGTTTCCGTTGGGGTCGCAGCCGCCCCAGCTAAATTCCATGCATTTTCCGTCCTTAGCTGAATAATAGAAGCGTGGGATCGCGGCCCTGCAGGGTCCTACTTTCAGCGGCTGCTCGCATGGTTTACCACATCCGCGAGCACAACACTGCTTCTCGCAGTCCTTCAGGGACTCGAAGTTGTTTCCGTTGGGGTCGCAGCCTCCCCAGTTGAACTTCAGGCACCTGCCCTGTTTGGCCGAGAAGTACCAGCGCGGCACGAGAGCATCGCACGGGCCGATTTTGAGCGGCTGCTGGCACGGCTCCTCCTTCACGGTGGCGGAGGCGGCCGCGGCCAGGACAACCAGCAGTCCCAGCTGCATGGTGGCCATACGGACGGCGGGCGGGCGGACCGGGACCGGGCGGGGCTCTGAGCGAGCGGACCTGAGCACGACTCTGAGAGACGGGCGGACCGGGACCGGGCGCGACTCTCGGCGAGGTGAGACTGCGAGCGGCGGGCCCATCCACCGAGATATCACACCAGGGAAAGGTCACACGTGTCGCCAGATGTCATCGAGTGACGCTGAACGTCAAATAATCGGACCGACAATGAGCCATGCCTGAGCGGTAGACAGGGCTCCTCCACAAAGGCCGTTACAAAGAGCTGAGAGTGCCGCCGGAGCTCGGCCGAAGAGTGCCGCCGGAGCTCGGCCGAAGAGTGCCGCCGGAGCGCGGCTGAAGAGTGCCGCCGTTCGGACGTCCCCGCCGGGGTGCGGCAGGCGGCGCCACCGTGGGGCGGTCCATCGATACATCCATCCATCACATGGTCCATCGTCTCTGGTCATTCTTGGCGTGGCGGCTGACAGGCTCGCCCGACCTTTTGCCGCCCGTGGGCTGTGGGCTGTGAACTGTGGGCTGTGGGCTGTGGACGGTGGGATGCTGACCCCACCGTGGGCGCAGAGGCGACCCACTTGTATGACAGTCGGTGGCCGGGCCGTCACCGGCTCTGCACGTTGACGTGTGCTCAAACTGTCCGTCACCGGACGGCGATCAACTATCGGCTGTCGGGGGGGGAGGGGGGGGCGGACACGGGCTGTTGGTGGTGGTGGGGGGGGGGGGTGACCGGACACGGACTGTCGGGGGGGGGGGGAGGGGACCGGACACGGGCTGTCGGGGGTGACCGGACACGGGCTGTCGGGGGGGGGGGGCGGACACGGGCTGACCCGGGAGGTCACCGATGAGGTGACCTGTGAGACAAGCTTGTTAGTCGTCCTCCTGAGCTCATCTGTAGGTACCTTTTCCAACTCCCCGATTTCTGATTCCGGATTCCGATTTTATCTGGGAAGCTTTTAACGGAAAACTGTGATGCCTAAAATTACTTCACTGGCGTCATAAAATAAAGGTCATATCCTAATGCCACGTTGGGTTTATAATGCAAAAAAATGAATCATAGCAATCACCATTCACGTAACTGATGAACATTAGAGTCTGAGTGCTAGAAGATGAGATCGATCATATTGCTTCTCCTGACCGTGCTACTTAAATAAGCAGTTTTAGTACCTAGGCGTTTCCTTTGTGAATCCCTATATCGTGGAGGTCGCGTGACTGATCTGGAGAAGCTCATGTCAATGCAAAGTAGGTACAGGCCTTGGAATGTTTGATATCATGCTGTGATTCATTTCTTGGAAATAAGAACATTTTAGAATCGCACCTTTTTTAACGTAGTAAAGAATTTATTTTAAACCCATAGGTTAGTGACTTGAAAATGAGGTACGCCTATGACACGAGAGCTTCGACAAGCTTCGACGTTTTGCTTTGACAAGCTTTGACGAGCTTCGAGTCTTCAGTTCTTTCATGAAAGCGTTCCGAGCAAGGACGAAAAGAGTGGATGGTGGCACCTCTACTCCCCGTCGATCGGGGAGGGTTCCTAATTTGGAGTTTAGACAATGTCCGTGCCCTCCCCCCCCCCCGCCTCTCTGACCATAACCCGGCACTTATCCGCTGGCGCTTTTTGACGCGACTCACACCTCTAATGTGTTGTCCAAGTCCCAAGGTAACTGGTAAAAGTAGACCGTGCGCGGTTCCAGTTCGTGTGCTGCGGCACAGCCTACCCACCGGCGCTCGCTGCTAGTGACATCTATGTGCGAGAGTTGTAAGCTCGGCGCCCTCGCGTTCGGACGGGAGTTGCTTAGTCTGAAGTCTCGGTAAATCAATGATCAATAGCAGTTTTGTGGTCATTCGGTACCAGAGGAGCGCGGCAGACCATCGTGGCGGCGGGTCGGGGTCCGGTGGACGAGCGGGCCCGGTCGGCGGCACCGGCGGCCTCGACACCGCGGGTCGGCGGCCCGGCCGGCCGTCACACAGACAAAGAGGACGCCGAGATCGCCCCGGCGGTTCCCGCAGCCGGCAGAAAAGGCACCCCGACCTTTACGAATCGGGTCCGCCCCTCCTCTGCCCCTCCCGCACACTGCAATCGTGATGCCTCAGTTAGCACTTTTTACACGGCATATCGCACCAGACAGTGACATCCGCGCGTCAAACTTCGCATTGGGGCGCAATTGTCAAACGATTTCCCGGACAATAAAAGGTCTCTGTCAGTCAGTGCTGCGAATTCACTCGGACTCCTACGCAAAAATGACTTTCACTCCATCACATCCGATTTTGACTGAAATTTGCGCATTCTAACGACTCGTATTACATTAGTCTGCAGAACTTGACTTGGCACCTCCTCGGAAAAAGCCAGAGCTCTGGAAGAAACGACAGCGTTCTATGCACGACCATCCTCTGAGATTGGTAATATCGAGGTCATCGTACATACGTACATCCAGTCTTGAAAGCACCGCGCATTGGTGCGGTGTACCCATCAAGCCTGACTGAGGAAGGGCTGCTAAATTTGGGAGTCACCGAACCAATTGACATTCTCGTCCATCCCCCAGATCAATTTGTTTCATCAATTTCACATCCCTATCCATCCCCCAAGTCAATTGGTTCGGTGCCTCCTCTGCACACTGTAAGTTCATGACGTAACGGTGTCAATAAGCGGTTATTTTCTGACCAGACCTGTTAAGTTCGCGATGGGACTGCCGGTTCTTGATTAGACGATGGCGTTCGATGCCGCGTTCGAGATTAGATGGTTGCCAACCCAAACCGCTCACAGAATGCCCGTGAGACTGCGGTGTCCTGAGTGGAGCTCAGACAGTTCCTTTTAGGGGAGGCTGGCAACGAAGACGACTCCCAGACGTCATAGTGGAGAGAGGTGGAATTCCCTTCGTCATATTGTATTGTAGCAGTGCAAAGGCTCATCAGTGTCCAAAATCCAAACCGTGGTACAAAAAAAAAACGTAAGAAACGAGGTCCCCGACACCTCTAAAATCGCTCCCAGCGCACGACGCGCTTGACACAAGACTTCAAAAACAGCGCAACCAGCATTGCCAATCCCTCTGGCGAAATGCGCCAACAAAAACAATCGCAACATGAATGCCACAGAGGGAGTATCACGTGAAAACCTGACCAGCATTGAGACTCGCAGGCGCCAGCGACAGTGGCGTCACCTATACGGCGACAGGGGCGCCGCGCGGCGGCTAGTAGCGGTAGTGGTCGGGCTTGTAGGGGCCGTCGGCGGGCAGGCCGAGGTACTTGGCCTGGTCGTCGCTCAGTTTGGTCAGCTTGACGCCGAGGTGCTCCAGGTGCAGGGCGGCCACCTCCTCGTCCAGCTGCGGACGGGCACCGGTGATCAGACATCGGTCAGGCACACGCCGGTCGCTCCATGGTAAGGACACCGTTCAGACTTCAGACACCCGGACGGCCACAGGGCAGACACACCGGGACGGACACCGGTCCAGTCCACACGGGACGGACACCGGAACAGTCCACACGGGACGGACACCGGTCCACACGGGACGGAATCAGGGCAGACACACGGGACGGCCACCGGTCCACACGGGACGGCCACAGGACAGACACACCCGGACGGACACAGGACAGACACACCGGGACGGCCACAGGGCAGACACATGGGACGGACACTGGTCCACACGGGACGGACACCGGTCCACACGGGACGGCCACAGGACAGACACGGGACGGAAACAGCGCAGACACGGGACGGACACCGGTCCACACGGGACGGCCACAGGACAGACACGGGACGGCCACCGGTCCACACGGGACGGCCACAGGACAGACACGGGACGGCCACCGGTCCACACGGGACGGCCACAGGGCAGACACGGGACGGAAACAGCGCAGACACGGGACGGCCACAGGGCAGACACGGGACGGCCACAGGGCAGACACACCGGGACGGACACCGGTTCAATCGGGACGGCCACAGGACAGACACGGGACGGCCACCGGTCCACACGGGACGGCCTGAGGGCAGACACACGGGACGGCCACAGGGCAGACACACGGGACGGCCACCGGTCCACACGGGACGGACACCGGGCAAATACACCGGGACGGCCACAGGTCCACACGCCGGTCCACACGGGACGGCCACAGGGCAGACACACCGGGACGGCCACCGGTCCACACGGGACGGCCATAGGTAAGGCAAACACAGGGCTATGTCCATGGGGCGGAGAGCCACGCAACGAGACACAGGACAGTCCTGTAAATTGTAATGCAGCTAAATCCTCAGCACCCCTCCAAAGACAGCAGCAGCTAAGCCCTCGACCCGGGTGACCACTGACTGTGACCATTAACTTAAGTTGCCTTTCAGAGCTCCCCTACCGACTGAGAACTCAACACTCACTACCTATTCCAGACCCTTTTGGGGAGAAAGTGCCCGTCCCCTACTCCCCTGTGTCCACTTTAGTAAAGTAGTCTTTGTGTCCACTGACCTTTTTGGGCAGGAAGTGGACGCCGACCGGGTAGGCGCCCGGCTTGGTCCAGAGCTCGATCTGCGCCAGGGTCTGGTTGGTGAACGAGTTGGACATGACGAACGACGGGTGGCCGGTGGCGCAGCCCAGGTTCACCAGTCGGCCCTCGGCCAGCAGGATGATGTGGTTGCCGTTCTTCAGGCGGTACCGGTCCACCTGCCCGGGTGGGAGGGGAGGGGGGAGGGGGTCAGAGGGAGGATCTAACGGGGTGTGGAGCGGTCAGAGGTCGGTGAGACATTGCCAGCTGCCGGCGGGGGAGGGGTAGACAGACACCACCTACCGGGGTTAGCGGGGGGTGACACCACCTGCGCGGGGGGAGGGTTGAGGGCAACGAACAGCAGCATTTCAATAACAACAGGCCAGGTCAATGAAAATCTACATTGCTGCGTATATCAGCGAAAGTTTGTCTCTGATCCTTGCACACCGCCCGATTATGGGAAGTCACTGTTCCCAATCGCAGGCTGCCAACATTGTGTCCCTTTGTACCGACAAGGTGACAACTAACAAGCCATGAACGTTAGTTACAGGGTCGCTATTGGGCAGTTTTATCGCCATTACTAGGTCCATATTACTGGGTCTGGGTACAATTAGTACGCTGCTGGCCTAGTGGAGCCTCAGGGAGACGCACAGCGAGCCAACAGTACGGACAGCGGAGAGACTGCGACGCAGCAGTGCGCAGGAGCACCACAGCGTCAATCGGGGTAAGGCCACCGGGCTAAAACGATGCCGACTGACGCTCGCCCTTAATAACTCGTTTGTTTTAAGTTGCATTGTCATTCGACGCTATCAAAACCTCTAGCAAAAGTTCGCCGTAACCACAATCTCGCCCCCCCCCCCCTTCAGCTTCGGACAGGGCCTGAGGGCCACCGCCGTCCGCCAGTCTCGACACCTTCTCAATGACATATCTAAGGCCGCTTGATACCACAGCTCAAACCACCGCCCGGCCGGCCCGGCCCTCCTGCGCTCTGCCCCTCTCCCGTTCTCCCCGCTCTACCCACCTGGGGCTTAATGTTGATCTTCTCCACGGCGTTCTCGTCGAGCCAGATTTTCTGGATCTCGCAGTCAAAGTGTCCGATGTTGCAGACGATCGCGTCGTTCTTCATGTTGTTGAAGTGTTCGCCGGTGATGATGTCCTTGCAGCCGGTGGTGGTGACGAAGATGGACGCGCCGGCGGCCACCGCCTCAGACATGGTGGTCACCTGCGGTCACAGGGGTCATAGAGGTCACAAGAGGTCACAGGGGTCACAGATGTCACAGGGGTCATAGAGGTCACCTGAGGTCACAAAGGACACCATCTCCTCCATCGTGGTCACCTGATGTCACAGAGGTTACAGAGGTCACAGAGGTCACAGCGGACACCGTCTCCTCCATGGTAGTCACCTGGAGTCACAGCGGTTATAGAGATCACAAAGGTCACCTGAGGTCACGGCGGCCATAGAGGCCGGCCCGGACCGCGGCAGCTACTGAGGCATCGCTGGCCGGACGCACACAGCAACGTGGCGCAGCCGCGACACGCTTTGTCCGGACAGAACGGCATGGGACGGAAATATCATTGGGACAACGGCGACACAGCCTCACAAACTCGACAATGGTGACCCGACCTGACCTCTCCGCGGGGCGACCATTCAGTCAACGCAGCCATACGGGTCGCCGGTCAAAGGTAAAACAGACCACCAAACACTGGACAGCGGAGGCGGGCTGGCCCACTCCATACCAAACTCTGAATATGGCGAGTGTCTTATACTGCTCACCTCAAGTTTCATAACATATAATACTAGCACATAGAAGAAAATCTCACAACGAGCATACGAATACTTACCTTACGCAACTGAAACTCATGATAAGCATACTGAGCAGTGAGCATGGACCAGCGAAACACATAATACAATAGACAGTGCCAATGCATTCCGAAAAATATCAATTTCTAATAGGTTTCCCGTCTCACCTGGTAGCCCTCCATAGCGGCCTGCAGCGCGTTGATGGGGTCCACCTCGGTGATGATGACGCGCGCGCCGAACGCCTTCAGCGAGGAGGCCGAGCCCTTGCCGACGTCGCCGTAGCCGGCCACCACGCACGTCTTTCCGGCCAGCATCACATCCGTGGCGCGCTTAATGCCGTCCGTCAGCGACTCGCGGCAGCCGTACAGGTTGTCAAACTTGGACTGTGAACAGGGGGGGGGGGGAGGGTCAGTATTGGACGGGTGTCAGCGACTCGCGGCACCCGTACAGGTTGTCAAACTTGGACTGTGAAGGGGGGGGGGGGGTCAGTGACTCAGTATTGGTCGGGTGTCAGCGACTCGCGGCAGGCGTACAGGTTGTCAAACGTGGACTGTACACAAGGGGCAGTAGGGAGAGGCGGAGGGAACGTCAATTAAATTAGGGAAGGTATAGTCACTATATGACTATAACCTCTCGTACTCAAATTAATTCAACGTATCGATGGTACCAAAATTATAGTTAAAAATTGTAGTTGCAATTTCGGTAGGTACCGAAATTGCACCATTCATATTCGATATTACACAAAATGTTAAGTGCTTTAGTGCGATGATGCCAAGGTTCAACTGATCCAGCATCTCGATTGTAAGCTTTTCGTGTTGTCAGCTGCTTCCTTGGCAAAACAAATGATCGCAAAGTAAGTACAGCTCACACCAGCACCCCTCCTGCGGTTCCACTGTAACCTACCCTGGCTCCCCCGCTCCCCGCCCGTACCACCCCTCCTGCGGTTCCACTGTAACCTACCCTGGCTCTCCCCGCTCCCCGCCCATACCACCCCTCCTGCGGTTCCACTGTAACCTACCCTGGCTCTCCCCGCTCCCCGCCCGTACCAGCCCTCCTGCGGTTCCACCGTAGCCTACCCTGGCTCTCCGGCCGCCCCCCGCCCGTACCACCCCTCCTGCGGTTCCACTGTAACCTACCCTGGCTCCCCCGCTCCCTGCCCGTACCACCCCTCCTGCGGTTCCACTGTAACCTCCCCTGGCTCTCCCCACACCCCGCCCGTACCACCCCTCCTGCGGTTCCACAGTAACCTACCCTGGCTCTCCCCCGCTCCCCGCCCGTACCACCCCTCCTGCGGTTCCACTGTAACCTACCCTGGCTCTCCGGCCGCTCCCCGCCCGTACCTTGGTGACAGAGTCGTTGACGTTGATGGCGGGCACCTTCAGTTTGCCGGCGGCCATCATCTTGACCAGGTTGTGCACGCCGGTGGTGGTCTCCTCGGAGACGCCCTTGATGCCCTCCAGCAGCTGCGGGTACTTGTCGTGCACCAGGTTGGTCAGGTCGCCGCCGTCGTCCAGGATCATGTTCAGCGGCTGCCCGGAAGAGCGCGAGCGTTACATTGGGGTGACTGGTCGAGGGGTGACGTCGTATCCCGGCTGCGGCAGAGCGCGAGCGTTACACAGGGACCACTGGCCGAGGGGGGTGACGTCATATCCCGGCTGCGGCAGAGCGCGAGCGTTACACGGGGGCCACTGGCCGAGGGGTGTGACGTCATATCCCGGCTGCGGCAGAGCGCGAGCGTTACACGGGGGCCACTGGCCGCCGGAGTGGTGTGTGACGTCACAGGCCGACAATGACGACACAGGTGGGCGGCTGAGAGTAGGACACACGGACAACTGAACAGCTGTGCCAGTGTGCTGTACGCGTACTGCTGGCAGGGAATGACGCTCAGCATACACGTAACAGGTAGTAATGAGCAGGTGGAACTCGCTAAAACCATGTTCCTTCACTGTTCAGCTTCGTTAAAAGACTTCTTTCAATCCCAAATCTTGAGGGATCAAATCACCAAATCAAATCGCACTTAGTCTACCCCGAAGATTCCCTCCGCTGTAAACTGTAGTGTACAGCACAGTATACCGATAAGCAAAGCGAGTGTGTGTAGTTGGTCGTCGGTCACCTTTCCGTCCTTGAAGTAGAGCGTCTGCACGATGCACCACTCGTACTCCTCGTCCGTCTCGCCCTTCCATGCGTACACGGGCACGCCGGTAACGGCAATGGCCGCCGCCGCGTGGTCCTGCGTGCTGAAAATGTTGCAGCTCGACCACTGGACCTGTCCGACGGATCAGAGGGCGGTGTCACGGGCGGCGGGGACTCGGGATCCAACAGCCGGGGCTGCGAGGCTATTACATACTCTGGGACTGAGCAACTGAAACCGTTTACGCTCTTAAATGATAGAAAGAATGCAAAATGTAACATTATAAGTCAACTGATAATGTTTTTTCTCCGCGGTGAGGGCGAGCGCCGCCCATGTGATTGCGTCATACCGCCCGCTCGTCAGGTCCGCATGACCTGAGCCCGGGTCATTCGCGCTCGCAGCGCCGCCGAGAGCAGTCAGCCACTGAGCCGTGGGCTGAGCGCGGCGCTTCCTGCTTTTCGTGACGTGTCGTGTTTTTTTCGACACTGCTGCTGCTTGACAGCACTGGAGGTGAGGTGTCTTGGAGATCGCATTAGTGATAACTATGTCGATGCCTTTGCGGCCGCATTGCCGATCAGCAGATATTGCATCTAGATTCTTTGCTTGGACTTGACTTTCCAAGTCTGACTGGTTTCATCGCTGATGACATCTTAATGTTTCGCGTTACGTGCGAGCTTGACAGTCTGTGCTGTGCGCGCAATATTCTCGGCCCTCCGGTCTACCTCGTCAACCTCCGGTCTAGCAGCATGATTTTCGCATTTTAGGAGGCTCGTTTGTAAATTACCTAAGTACCTATAGGTAGCACCAATCAAGCAAAATCTAACTTCTCGCTGAGTTTTGAGCTGCATGGGACGGTCTAATTCCGTCCCCGCCTACCGGTTTCCTTCCCCGTCTGTGCCGTGGACGGTCGCCAGCCGCATCAGCTGCTCATGCCTCGGGGCATTTATCGGCGTCTGGTGCCTGGCCGGCGCGGCCCGGACACTAGTCCGGCCGACCTGCCCACTGGGCCCCCGGGGCATTGACCTACTGACCTCTCTCCCGCATGAGGCGATTCGCATTGACCAGATTCGGACGCAGATACATAAGTGAGTGATGGACAAATAACTTACAGCTACATCACTACAGCTATTACAGCAGCCTGGCATGAAAATTTTGCGATGGATTAGTACATATGAGCTTTTCCACCGCTGCATTGGCGTCTCAGTGCATCGCTTGCCTCAACCTCGGTCGTCTCCGGGCGTTTTGCAAAATAAAAAAAAAATAATAAAACTCTGGTAACACAAAGTAGCCTTGGGTAACACGACTCATTATGCATTGCTGCCTCAGTACAGGGCTCGCTTAACGCGTGCCCCGTGCGTCTATGGTTTGCTTTTTTTCTCTAACGAGCAGAAATGAGCAGAAGTACGCGTCACTTGGCAATATTATTCCATTAGTAGTCAAGTTCCGGTTGTCTCCGGCACACAGGGCAGCCTGACGCATTAAATGCTGCGTTTTCTGGCATGAGACAGCAGCATAAAGGCCTCTCAATTGCACTGGCTCAGGACATGTTGGATTTTTCTCCGGCCATGCCAAGTGTTACCGGCTATTACTTAGAGTACGCCATGTTGGCACGCCACATACCACATTTTTAGGTAACACAAGTTGGCTTGTTTGTCCGGTCATTTTATCGGCATTGCCGGTTCTTCGTATTAAACGGCAGACTATGTAAAGAAAAGGCTGCACTATTTGCGACTTTTCCGTCGTTTATAGGCATCACAGCTGCGTTGTCGGCTCAGTGCATATTATCAGTATATATATAAGTATATATATAAGTATATGAATAACTTGTTTATGCTACGGTCGCACCCGAGTCCGGTGCTGCCGCCTTGTTAATGGCAAACCAGTAAAATACTGGTCAAATTTCAGTAGCATATTCAGCTAGCGCTGCGTTTGAGTCGAGCGCGCGTTCAAAGCGTTGTCGTCTCAGGGTCTAGCTAGCATAGGCTCCGGTCGACTCCGGTGCTGCCGCCTTGTTAATGGCAAACCAATAAAAGGGTCGAGCTAGCATAGGCTCCGGTCGACTCCGGTGCTGCCGCCTTGTTAATGGCAAACCAATAAAATACGTACTACTGGTCAAATTTCCGTAACACATTTCACAGCTGCGTTGTCGGCTTAGTGCAGTCTCGGCTCCGGTCGTCTCCGGTGCAGCCGTCGGAGAAATTAGTACGTAGGTATCTCCCGGCCGTTTCCATAGCCCAATGCGTAATACCTCGTTAGAAGCACATAGGATAATTTGCACTCGATATCTTAAATATCTCAAACAAATTATTAAAGTAATGAAATGTCCAGTAGAGCATAGCATCTCTCAAATTCAGTAACTCATCAGCTCAGTATATATAGCTCGCTTATGCTCCCGTCGTTCCCGGTACTGCCGAATGCCGGCTGCAATACCAGAGCTATGTTTGAGCCCCCAGACAGAGTTTTCTCTCAAACTACATGCATTATCCGGGTGTGTCACTTGACGGTTTTTGCGTCACGCCTCTAGCAATGCAATCGTTGTCTTCGTATACGAAGACAACGTTACGAAGGCAATGCTATACGGAGCTGCTTTCCGCTTATGTCTTACCCCAGTCATACCGACTTTAACCTGCTGAGTCAAACTGGCTTTTTATCTCAAGTTTAATAACAAGTGTCTCAATGATGTCGTTTCAATGCAGAGCTTGATTATGAGCCGGTCGTCTCCGGTATCGCCTGCTTATGGCCTTGCATAGTCCGGTCGTCTCCGGTATAGCCTGCTTATGACCTTGCATAGTCCGGTCGTCTCCGGTATAGCCTGCTTATGACCTTGCATAGTTCGGTCGTCTCCGGTATCGCCTGCTCATGGCCTTGCATAGTCCGGTCGTCTCCGGTATCGCCTGCTCATGGCCTTTGCATAGTCCGGTCGTCTCCGGTATTGCCTGCTTATGGCCTTGCATAGTCCGGTCGTCTCCATTATCGCCTGCTCATGGCCTTGCATAGTCCGGTCGTCTCCGGTATAGCCTGCTTATGGCCTTGCATAGTCCGGTCGTCTCCATTATCGCCTGCTCATGGCCTTGCATAGTCCGGTCGTCTCCGGTATCGCCTGCTCATAGCCTTGCATAGTCCGGTCGTCTCCGGTATCACCCAAGCCTGTGTGAAATGCGCATTACTGGTCAATCATCGGAAACTTATGGCCTTGCACCTATGGCCTTGCACCTAAATCAGTCGTCTCCGATGTCGCCGATGCTTATGGCCTTGTAAATATGTATAGTCCGGTCGTCTCCGGTATGGTCTGCTTATGGCTTTGCACCTAGTCCGGTCGTCTTAGTATCGACTGGCTTATGACCTTGCATAGTCAACGCTGTTGCATAACGCATTATACCGCCCGCTTAGGGCATAATTGCAAGGCAAAGCGGAACAAGCGAACGTGTCGGTGATAAGCGTTTCCACTGTCTCCTGCGGCGCCAGACACAACAGGTCGCCCTGTTCATCGGCGGCAACGATATCGCACGCAGGGTATTCCAGCAGCTTGAGCTCCTCTGCAGCAGGTTGAGGAGCTCTGCATGGCTGCAATTGCTCTATGAGCTGAATCAGTTATATAGTTCGCGTATACCCCGTCATGCTCAGAGACAATCTTCGGAACGCTCGCGCTTTTACCCCCGGGCCTGTTTCTCTGGGGCGGGATGGTGTCCACCCTTCGAAGATATAGGGCGAAGGGCTCTGGAAGCGTTCTTACCTACCCTTGTTGAATTTAAGATTGGGCACAGGCAATGAGCTAGCAGAGGAACATGACAGTGAGCAGTGCCAGTGTGTGCTACTTTCGTGAGGTGTGTTGCAGTACGCATGATGTGGAACATATGATGTGAGCATGATTTCTGTCTTTTTCATGCCTGCCACGAGTCCGCCTGATCGACACACCCAAAGCCTCGGCGTCAACACGCAGCAGCCGGCCTGACAAGCACACCTCGTCCAGCGTCGCTCCGCAGAGCACAAGGGGCGCCCTCAGGGGCTGCACAGCGCCCAGAGGCAACTCCGTCGCCGCTATGCCCCGACGTTCTCCTGTCCGGCCAAGCAGAGATCCTGCACTGGCTGACGCAGTAGCATCTCTGAGGACTGCTCAGTACCCAGCTACACTCGTCCGCTACACCAGCAGCCCCTGCCGATACCATCGCGATCAGCAAAAAGCAGCTGCACGGGATAGTCGTCGGGATGTTTCAGGCAGCCATCGCGGCCGCTGCACCAGCTGTCATCCCCGTCCCATCTACGCAGCACACGTCGTCGGGACCATCTCTAGGTCTCGAGTAGCCGGCGCAGTTCCGGAGGAGACGAACACCCAGGTAATACCTCAGGTTCAGCGACATGCCTTTAAAATTAGATATAAAAAATAACAATTACAATGTGTGTCCGCGGACATCACTTTTAGTGTATCAGCTATCAGATACAACATCGAGAGCCACCGTTTTGTCAATCTTGACAACTGGTTTTGTACCTCTGATCCTCGCTATGAGGAGTCTGTAGTGTCGGCACCTTCAGCGTTGTGGGTGGTCTTCTGCAGCCAAGCCATCCATACGCGTCATCCAGACATTCGCAGTCAGTAGTCTTTGTCCGATATACGGGTGGTTACTTGAGCCCATCCTGAGAATGTCGCTCACATGCGTCAAGTCAGCTTTCTCTCAGCTCCCGGCATGGGGCTCTCCTGGAGGGAATATGACAAGTGGTTAACACGCGCTAGTGAGCTCCCTCCACACCTGTACAGTGTACACAGTGGGGCGAATCTGATGCTATTTCGCCAATCTGGCTCAACTCCACTGGCCGCGGCATCACCACTCACCAGCGTATCAGCAAGGTAGGAGCTGGGGCGTTCGGGGCGCGGAGTTCTCAACTCCTGTGTTTCCGGTGGATGCACGCACGGCCGCTGCCACTACAGCCACTCCTGGCGTGTCTGCCGCGGAAACCACGGCGCTCTCCGCTGCCCCCGCCGCAACGCCATTCGCAGCCAGCGGCCGGTCACCCCTCACGCCGCCCTACTCGCTCCTAGGGAATAGCAGACGACCCGCTGGCAGAGTGCCCGCCATCAGCGTGCCACATGTCGTTCTTCGTGAGCTTCTTAGTAGCTATAACTTATTTCTTGCGCCCTATGTTGGTGTAAGACTTCGAAAACTGCTTCATAACTGGATGTTTGGGCGCCCATTATAGTGGATGCATATGTCAATTGCGATAGACGCGCGGGTCGGATTGCCGGTCCTGCTTCCTCAAGCAGTCAATGGATAAGAAAGTTTGTCCCGAGCAGACTTATTCCCGAAAACGCCGGGGATGTAACACTTTAACCGCTACCTCTCCCTTCCGGAGGCCGATCTGTTAATGAATTTATCCCCACCTTATAAGTTAGAACACAGACACTTAGAAATATGACCCCCAAATATAGCTGACTCATAGACAATCCTCTCGAACGGATGGTTTCTGTGCTGATATTTTTTTCAAAGACGGCATTCATGACGTCTCTGAATTCGCTTCAGCGCATGTGCAGCGAGCTCCACGTTCCTTTTTGCTCTAGCAAGGCAAAGGAGCCCTACCGTATCCTCACATTCCCACGTAAAGAATGTTTTACATTCCAAGTTCTTAATGAGTACTGTAGATACATCAGCATGAGTGCGTCCATCGGGCAGAAAGTGAAGCTCCAGTGTGATCACCGGGGTAGGACGGATTAGGCTCGCTATTAACGCTTAAAAATCTCCCCTATCGCGACGTTCAAATCTTACATTGGTTTCATAACTTGCGTGCGTGGGTGGATCGGCCTTGGGAGTGTTTTCCTACGCCGAACGTATGATCTGCACCAAGGCACGTTCCGTCCGCACCATCGCATGGCGGTCAGAAAGACAGCACGTTTGGATCTCAGGGCATGGCCGATGATGTTGGTCCTTTTTGCCCAGGCCATGGGACTGGGGCTACCACGTCCCCGTAATCCATAGAAGTGTTCATGGCAGTAGCGCTGGCTCCTGCTACGACACGAGCCTATCACGCTGTCTGAAAGGAGCAGAACTTTCATCGGGAGTCGGCTTCTGACAGCCTGTTTCTAGTCCGCGTCACAAATGTTGACAACCTTTGGCCAAGCAGAGTTTTGCGTACTGCAATGCTTTTGCTAGAGCTGGGACAGCTATGTAACGCTCGCCGGCAAGTCACCATGTTTCGTTCAAATTGCTCAACGTTCCATGCCATTTTCACGCTGTTTTTTTGCCCCTCTCCGTCGCGGCGAAATGGTCCGTTGCGGGCTACAGGAACATACTGGTGCACGTGCAGTGCCATTGAGTCCTGGCCACGACGCAGTTGTAGTATTCCGTGCTTCTTCCCGTGCTCTCTTTCCGGTGCGTGTTAGTCGCCATGCTCCACTGAGCGTTGGTCGTTGTGCCAGTTTGGCCAGAGGATTCATGTAAGCGATTCTCCTGGCTCTCTTGCCGTGCACTGGTCCGAAAGGAAAGGTTGCCAGTTCCGCCAGCCGAACTTTCTCTTTGCACTGTTCAGCCGTGCGCTGGTCCAAGATTGGTGCCAGTTACGCCGGCCGATTTTTCGTTGCACTGCTCAGCTGTGCGCTGGTGCCAGTTACGCTGGCCGATTTTTCGTTGCACTGCTCAGCCGTGCGCTGGTCCAAGATTGGTGCCAGTTTCGCCGGCCGATTTTTCATTGCACTGCTCAGCCGTACGCTGGTCCAAGAAAGGTGCCAGTCTCGCCGCTACACTGCTCAGCCGTGCGCTGGTCCAAGATTGGTGCCAGTTTCGCCGGCCGATTTTTCATTGCACTGCTCAGCCGTACGCTGGTCCAAGAAAGGTGCCAGTCTCGCCGCTACACTGTTCAGCCGTGCGCTGGTCCAAGATTGGTGCCAGTTACGCCGGCCGATTTTTCGTTGCACTGCTCAGCCGTGCGCTGGTCCAAGATTGGTGCCAGTTTCGCCGGCCGATTTTTCATTGCACTGCTCAGCCGTACGCTGGTCCAAGAAAGGTGCCAGTCTCGCCGCTACACTGCTCAGCCGTGCGCTGGTCCAAGATTGGTGCCAGTTACGCCGGCCGATTTTTCGTTGTAATGCTCAGCCGTGCGCTGGTCCAAGATTGGTGCCAGTTACGCCGCTACACCGCTCATGCAGCTGCGCGCTGGTCCAAGTTTGGTGCCAGTTACGCCAGCCGAAATTCGCGACACGAATGTTCTGTAGTCCCTGTTCTGCTGATCTCCCCCGTGCTATAGCAGCGCATTACTCTCAACGTAATGTAACTCGCTAGGGCTTCCGTGTATGCAGCAGATGTAGTTTTGCTAATTTGCAAGCACGCTGCGTGTGTTGCGGACCATGTGCTGGTGTTGAAGCGAGCTGCGTCTCACGCGCTCCTCAGTTACCGTTTGCGGCTATTGTATGTTGTGTGCCGGACATGCGCCGGGTGAATGCATTTGTTTTACTTTTATGCAAATTTTTATCTGCACTTAATTTTGCTAAGCTTACCTGCCTACGCATCGTTCTCGGGTTCGTGGGGTAATGGGCTTTTCCTCACCCAAAGGCATTGTTGGAGTGCACAATACATAGACCCATAATCACAACAACGCCTTTGCGAGCTCGAACGAAGCGTAGAAATGTAACATTATAAGTCAACTGATAATGTTTTTTCTCCGCGGTGAGGGCGAGCGCCGCCCATGTGATTGCGTCATACCGCCCGCTCGTCAGGTCCGCATGACCTGAGCCCGGGTCATTCGCGCTCGCAGCGCCGCCGAGAGCAGTCAGCCACTGAGCCGTGGGCTGAGCGCGGCGCTTCCTGCTTTTCGCCATCCACCTCCCCTCCGCCACCGACGCGACTGTATTTTATCATTCGTGTAATTGTGCAGCTTCGCGTACATGCTTGATGCGTTGTGCAATGTACATACCCTCGTCTTCGGCTATGTATTGTGGGCTTTTCCTCACCCAAAGGCATTGTTGGAGTGCACAATACATAGACCCATAATCACAACAACGCCTTTGCGAGCTCGAACGAAGCGTAGAAAAAACATTGGTCATTGTGTTCCGTTCCAACTCGCCCAGAAAACGGCATCTCCTCGCAGGATGCTACTGTCACAAAGCACGGCCTCAAGAGTTCAAATACAAATTCAACATAGCCTTACCCGGTGTGCAATGTGCATACACATTGCACATATGCCGCCAAACCTGTGCCAATATAGTCTGGTCCAAGGTGAATGCGACAGTTCGCGGGACTCAAACCATTCAATGCATCGGTTCGCCCTCTCGCGGCGCCCCACCACCAGCGCCCCAGGGCCCAGAGTGTCTGACCTCCCTCCCCTTCCCAACCTCTGCGGCTCAGTGACCTCTGCGTCCAGTGACCTCCCCCCCCCCACCTCTGCGCCCAGTGACATCCCCCTCCCCACCTCTGCGTCCAGTGACCTCTGCACCCAGTGACCTCAGCGTCCAGTGACCTCCCCTCCCCTCCCCCACCTCTGCGTCCAGTGACCTCCCCTCCCCCACCTCTGCGTCCAGTGACCTCTGCGCCCAGTGACCTCTCCCCCCACATCTGCACCCAGTGACCTCTGCGCCCAGTGACCTCCCTCCCCCACCTCATCGTCCAGTGACCTCATCGTCCAGTGACCTCTGCGCCCAGTGACCTCTGCGCCCAGTGACCTCCCCTCCCCCTACCTCCGCCCCGAGCTCGGTCAGTGTCTCGATGAGGACGGCCGTCTGGATGGTCATGTGCAGGCAGCCGGCGATGCGCGCGCCCTTCAGCGGCTGCGACGGGCCGTACTTCTTGCGCAGCGTCATCAGGCCGGGCATCTCGTTTTCGGCCATGATGATCTCCTTTCGGCCCCACTCGGCCAGCTTGATGTCGGCTGCGGGCGGGGAGGGGGGAGGGTCAGGTCAGGGGAGCTACCCGCGCGGGGAGGGGCGGGGGCGGGTCAGGGGAGCTTCCCGTGCTGGGAGGGGCGGGCGTTGCCAGGGGAGCTGCCCGCGCGGGGAGGGGCGGAGTCAGGTCAGGGGAGCTGCCCGCGCGGGACGGGACAGGCCGGGGTGCATAGGGGAGCTGCCCGCGCGTGACTGCGCCAGGGGCGTGTACTAGGGGAGCACAGTAGACGGGTGCAGCACAGTGGGGAGAAGACACGGTCAGAGAACGAACCGGTTATAATGTCTCCAGCTGCCCGAATTCCTGAACAGTTAACTGTCAGTTAGTGGCGATAGTACTGTCGATGCTTCTGCGGAGCGCAGACGATGAGGTGAAAATACTAATTTTCGTAAAAATAGCAAAGGGCCTTTATGACTTATACTAGATGGTATCGGCCCTCTCAAACGTTAAGCAATTTAGTCAGTCTTTCTACGAAAAACATTGGGCTCTGGGAATGGGCGTGTCTACGCAAAAAAACGCAAGTTGCGTCCAGATCTGTCCGGATCTAACCAGTATAAACAAGAACCATCCGGACTAAGCTGGATGTGTCCGGAATGATCTGACAGAATCCAGATGTATCCAGATAAAACAAGCATTGCGCCCCATGGCATTGATCACATAACTATATGACGAAGATGCCCATTAGTGTCAATGGCACGCAGCGCAGACGAAGGCATGGTGGGGAGTCTCCCATCAAGGCGCTCCGATAAAAAAATGGCTTATAATAAATATTCAATAGCGCATGTAAATATACAATATCAACGTTTATTACATTCTCGTAGCAGTCCAAAAGTTCTGACATTTCTTGCTTTAATTCGGTGCCCACCAAACTTTAATTCGGTGCCCACCAAACGAGCTTAAAGACAGAGGCGGTAGGTACCCAGAGGAGGAAAAAACAGTTACCTACCGCCGCCCCTGACACAAAACTAACAGTCATGTAGGGCTGGAGCCTATCATATGCCCTCAGAGGTCCAGAGGTCGGCGCCGCCTGGTGAGACTCAGCACGGGCCTGTCCTCTGTCTGTAGGTACTGTAAACGGGGGGCCGGCTGGCAGCCATACACACAGAACTCGCCCAGCGAGTGACCGTGACGGACGGGGGGGGGGGGGGGCAGCCGTCCGACCACGCCCCCTCTCCGGTGTTTGGATAGCTGCCATTCTGTATATGGTATGACTATTGTATACGCGGCATAGGTATACATCCCCGGTCTCGGGTCACAGACTCTCCTGTTCCCGCGTACATGGTGTGACGCGGTACATAGTACATACAGTATAACGCGGTGTATGCGATATTACCTACGCGGCCCCCGAGTTGGTCGACAGTTATCGTGTTTAAGAGCCCAAGTATGAAGGAAGCAACAAACACGACAGACGGTAGGTGCCGCCGGTGCCTACATCCGGCACACCGTACCGCCGGTCAGCGGTACACCCGGTCAGCGGTACCGCCCGTACCCCGTACCTACACTGCACCGGTCAGCGGTACCACCGGTACACTCAGCGGTCCACCCAGTCAGCGGCACACCCAGTCAGCGGCACACCCAGTACGAACAGCCAGCCCACGGTACCGCCGGTAAATACACCCATTTCGTGGTACACCCGGCCAGCGCTACCACCCGTGCCCCGTACCTACACCGGTCAGCGGTACCATCGGTAAAATCAGCGGTACACCCGGTCAGCGCCCGCAGCGGTACACCCGGTCAGCGGTACACCCGATACGAACAGCCAGCCCACGGTACCGCCGGTACATACACCCATTTCGTGGTACACCCGGTCAGCAGTACAGCCGGTATATTGATATACAGCCGGCCAGCGGTACCGCCCAGGGTACATTGAGTGAAGTACCGCCCACCGTTACCGCCAGCGCACCACTGACCCTGAACTGGCCCCGAGTGGGTCCTGGTACACCGTTAGCGGGAGGTCAGTCACCTCAGCAGGGGTCGGCTCAGCTCAGTCACATACCGGCCGCCGGAGATGAGAAGCCGTCCTCACCCACGGTAGGTGAAGGCGCCGATCGAGAGAAAGGGAGGCGTGGTCTATTGCAACTTCAAAACATTACTGGCACGACCGGCACTGCCACGGCCCAGGATAATATGATAAAGATCGCTCGCTGCATTTATCCCAATCGGTGATCCACATCCTATCACTCATACATTATGCCACCAGGCATAAATGACAAAAGGACTGAGACATAAGTGACCTCAGGGTTCCAGGTAAACTAATGTTTTTTCACAAACGAATGTAACGCATCAGCATTGCAACAATGACTGTCAAAGGGCATCAGCACGTGTCGGGTGCCACGTGGCAAGTCAGAGGTGTAGACTGTAGATGCGATAAATACTGAGCCACTCACCAACTTTGTACGCGGGTTTATCTCCAGCCATCTTGGCAAAGTTGAAGTAATCGACGTTGAACACGTGTTAGCACGTCGCCAGTTCCCCGTGACGCACGAACACCGCCAGTTGGAACTCGAGAAAGGGGCGAAACGCGGCGGCTCTGGCCCTTTTATGCTTTTGAGCACGAAGATGTTATAACCTAGTTCATTGGTCAGAGGCCATCCTAAGCAGCCAATCAAAATGTACCTTTGTGGGAATTGTATCACGCGAGCAGCAACAGCTGAGCAAATTGTACGCCTATTTATACTATTTCTTGGCAGATACTTGGCGAAATATTCGAAAAGTTTTTACTATTTGCAAATTAAATTCAATACTTTCTAGTTATTTATTAATTTCAAGATCAAAAATGCTTAAAAGCCGCTATTCATATAGATGACACAGTTTTTATTTGGAAAATATTTTTTAAATTCGCCTTAAACTAGCCTAGATGTAACATTTATTGATCTTTTTTGCGCTATTTCTGGCAAGTGCGCTGTTATTGCCTCTTTTATGTCAAGGCTGTGCGCGTGACACTTCTGTGTCGCTGTGTTTTCGGTTTGGGAGGGTGAGTTGAGAGTAGGTATTTATTGTATTTTGATAACCATGATCAATCCTGTATTTTTGAAGTATGTTCGTGAACGGAAATGCATGTCTCTTGTGTTTACCAACAGTTGGTTCTGTCCCAGTCATTTTTTACCAAGGTGCAACATACCTAGGACAAGGACAGCGCATTTTTGCGGTCACAAGCTTGAGCTATTCTATTCTATTGTTACCTATTTGTTCTTTGCCTATGTGTTCACATTTACCCAGTAGTGCATATGACCGTTTCTCATGTTTAAATGACTTCATATTTTTTTAGTATTTTGCTCTGAAGTCTCGCCTCCTTTGAACAGGTTTAACCCAACATTTAGGTATCGTTAAGGCAGACGTTGCTGGAGCTGCCATACCTATGCATGTGTTTTTTTTTTGCAACAAAGGAGAGGCGGAGGCCCGCAGATGTTTTTTGCCCAAGAAACTGTAATGTTGGTTGTAGGTTGTAGGTTCTGTTTGGTTAGATTGTTGCATTCCCGGGGTAGCGCCTCTCCTTTTGTTGCAAAAACGAAATGTGCCTTATGGCGACTCATGCGATGTCTGCCTTACCGAACAAAGAAGTGTCCTCTCATCTGCTCACACAACTCTGGCTGGTATTGAGTGACTGGACGCAGGCCCTTGCACTGACCTCTCATTAATGGCTTTGATTATCTGTTTCAGGTTTCTTTGTCAGATTCTCCTAAAGCTACAAAATGAGGGACTGGCTGTTCAACATCCATGATGGTTATCTGGAGAGCCTGTGCCGAGGATTCAAAAACGGCATTCTGAAGAACAATGACTACCTGAACTTGGTGCAGTGTGAAACTCTTGAGGGTGAGTTTGCTGGGTGATCCATTGATGTTTCTGATCGGTTTAAAACTTGTTGGCCATTGATTGCTTACATCACACGCCTTTCTAGTCTCTAGGTAACAACAAGTTGAAATGCATTACATTTTTGTCCAGCCTTCAATTTGTTTGCCCATTTGCTTTTACACCACAATCTGAATGAGATGCGATTCAACTCAAGTGATGAGAAAGTGATTTACTAGTTTGTAAAGTGCATAAATGCCATTTTATTTTTGTAAATGTATCAGGAATGGATTGCATAGAAACATGTTCAAATCAGTAACTTTGATTATTTACCCAAGATCAGTCTCTGTTCAACATGATAAAAACATGTTCTTGGCAAGACGTGCCCGCTCAACAGCATACAAATTTTTACATTTATTCCATTTTAGATATGTACCAGCATGATGACCATGTAGGGTGAACCATCTCACCATCTCTAATTCCCCTAATCCCCCTTCCCAGCCTGTGTTCAATCTGTGCACTGCACCTTTTTAGGCGCATTTTCAAAAAGTTAAGGACCAAATTCAAAACATTCACGTGCATTTCGAAGGAAGACGTTCTGAATTTGACCTTTAACTTGTTTGAAATTGCGCCTAACAAGGTGCAGTCACTTGTGGTCACTTGCTGACCCAGCCTGCCCTCTGTGACCCCTGCCCTGGTCCGCTTCTACTGCTGGCCCTGGTCCCCCCGACTCTGCCCAGTCCCCCCTGACTCTGCCCTGTCCCACTCTGACCGCTGCGCCGCCGCTCGCCCGGCAGACCTGAAGCTGCACCTGCAGTCGACCGACTACGGCCACTTTCTGGCCAACGAGGCCGGCCCGCTGTCCGTCACCACCATCGACGACCGGCTGCGAGACAAGCTGGTGCTGGAGATGCAGCACATCCGCAACCACTCGGTGGAGCCGCTCTCCACATTCATCGACTACATCACGTCAGTAACGGGGGGAGGACGGGGGGAGGGGGGCACATCCGCAACCACTCGGTGGAGCCGCTCTCCACCTTCATCGACTACATCACGTCAGTAACGGGGGAGGGGAGGGGGGACGGGGGCACATCCGCAACCAGTCGGTGGAGCCGCTCTCCACCTTCATCGACTACATCACGTCAGTGAGGGGGCGGGGAGGGGGGAGGGGGGCACATCCGCAACCACTCGGTGGAGCCGCTCTCCACCTTCATCGACTACATCACGTCAGTAACAGGGGCGGGGGAGGGGGGGGGGCACACTGCAACCACTCGGTGGAGCCGCTCTCCACCTTCATCGACTACATCACGTCAGTGACAGGGGCGGGGAGGGGGGCACACTGCAACCACTCGGTGGAGCCGCTCTCCACATTCATCGACTACATCACGTCAGTAACGGGGGAGGGGAGGGGGGACGGGGGCACATCCGCAACCACTCGGTGGAGCCGCTCTCCACCTTCATCGACTACATCACGTCAGTAACGGGGGTGGGGAGGGGGGGCACACTGCAGCTACTGTGTGGAGCCGCTCTCCACCTTCATCGACTACATCACGTCAGTCGGGGGGCGGGGGGGGGGGGGCACACTGCAACCACTCGGTGGAGCCGCTCTCCACCTTCATCGACTACATCACGTCAGTAACGGGGGCGGGGAGGGGGGGCACACTGCAGCTACTGTGTGGAGCCGCTCTCCACCTTCATCGACTACATCACGTCAGTAACGGGGGCGGTGAGGGGGCACATCCGCAACCACTCGGTGGAGCCGCTCTCCACCTTCATCGACTACATCACGTCAGTAACGGGGGCGGGGAGGGGGGAGGGGGGCACATCCGCAACCACTCGGTGGAGCCGCTCTCCACCTTCATCGACTACATCACGTCAGTAACAGGGGGCGGGGGGGGGGGCACACTGCAACCACTCGGTGGAGCCGCTCTCCACCTTCATCGACTACATCACGTCAGTAACGGGGGAGGGGGGGGGGGCACATCCGCAACCACTCGGTGGAGCCGCTCTCCACCTTCATCGACTACATCACGTCAGCATGGATGATATAACACTGGATTGGTGTCTCGTGGAAATTAACATTGGGATCTGCGACATTGGGATTAGGCCTGCCATCTAGCGAGAGAATTATCGTAAGTTAGGAGCAAGCCGAGTGAACGCTATCTCTCAGCATTATGACACACGTGGGTGTGGTGTGTTAGTTGGCTCGAAGTGCATATTCCCACGAGTTGGAGGTAATCTAACTGGACCTGAGACGACAAAAAATGTCTTAAATGCTTGAAAGCCAAAAACGTCAAGCAGCCTTTAGGTAATAACGAAAATAAAATGCGTAAGACGGTGTGCATTGAAACGCCCAGTCCCATTGGCTTGTACGAGCTTTTATATGGCCATTTACTCACAATGGTACAGCAGTTTGACAATATGTCATACATATTTGGTAGGCTTATTCCTTCTTCTCCGAATTTCGCCCGATTTTCTTCATCTTAGTTAATGTTACGGCACGTGCCACGTGCCAACTTAGGGGTGTCGAAATTGTTCCACATGAAGTAACTCCGCAATGGCTGGGCCCATTACAGTAAAATTTCGTCAATAGTTAGGCACCCAGGGCCAGTGGCCAATGCATTTCCATGTGTCACTATGGGGGTGCTACTGCACGTGCGCACGTGCGGGCTGCCGCTTCCATATCTCAAGAAGGGCTGGGCGGATAACACTCAAACTTGGTACACAAATGTCACATCGATGCTCGCACTGCATTGATCAGTGCTTACATTGGTGCAGAGTCGTAAAGAAAACGAGGAAATGAGATGCGTGGTGTTTATGCCTTTCTGTTCCAGCAGCTGATTGATCCGCAACAGGAGATCCTTGTTTGTGAAGGCTTCGTCTCCCTTTTCCACTCCTTGTTTAAAATAACATTAACAATGTACGAAGAAGATCAAAGTTGTTTTAGGCGGCTATCTTGGGCCAGGACTGCGGAGTTGTAGTCAGAGCCAGCGGTTCTGTTCCGACTCGGAATCGGTTGATTTTTAAAAGCTGTAGTCGGAGTATGAGTCGAACGTCACCGAAAAGTCATCGACTCCACAGACTTACCAGGGCTGCAGAGTCGGAGTCTGTATGAATCGACAGTTCTGCCCGAAGGAGTCGGAGTCGATATCTGGATACCGGAATCGGAGTTGGAGCCAAAGTCACTGAAATTTCATCGACTACGCAGCACTGGTTGGGTCCTTTTCATAGAGCGTCTTGAATGGCATATTGAGCGGCAATGACGTTAGCAATTCCGTTTAACCTTTTCATTAGACTTATAGATAGTACTTACGTTCGTTTTGTTCTTTGATCGGACAATTTGCTTGATTTAGGCCAAGTAAAGACTCATGTGAAAAATAGCGAAAACGACACGTGCTGGCGAAGTCTCCAATAACTCCCTGTTTCACGATTTAATGGGGAAATAACATGGAACTGCTTATCTTATTACTGACCCTGCACATAAATCTATTAATTTCTTCGCTTTTACTGACATATAAAGACATAACCTTTTGAAAAATTGCACAACAAGCCTGCTACTACACCACACTCCCGTGTGTCACAATGCTAATCAGCGGCGTTCACTCGGCTTGCTCCTAACTTACGACAATTCTCCCGCTAGATGGCAGGCCTGAGCTCAATGTCGCCAAAAACAGCGAAGACACCAATCCATTATTATCTCATCCATGACGTCAGTAACAGGGGGAGGACGGGGGGAGGGGGCACATCCGCAACCACTCGGTGGAGCCGCTCTCCACCTTCATCGACTACATCACGTCAGTAACGGGGGCGGGGAGGGGGGCACACTGCAACCACTCGGTGGAGCCGCTCTCCACCTTCATCGACTACATCACGTCAGTAATAGGGGTG